CTATCATGAGAACCTACATCCAATAAAAAAAAATTGATTTCAACACACACAAATTACATTCTACACAACAAAATGCGCCCAAACGAATATTTAATCATTACATATTACAAAAAATTATATACTACATAAGAAATACGTTTAATACACAAAATACAACAAAATTAAATCACACAAAAATTACCAAAAATAAAAATTAAAAATAAATATTAAAATTATAGTATCTTAGTTCAAAGAAATAATTTAACTTTCATTTTGGGAGTTCATTTCTGTTTTTAATTTTTTATTTGAACACGAATTAGTTCGAAAATTGTTAATCCATCAACAGTTTATCATTTATTAACGATACAGCCAAGCTGTAAGAAAGATTTTTCTTTACTGTTATGGGCAGACCTCCTCCAGTACATTCTATGGAATCTGTCATGTACTTCAATATTGCTTATCTTCTATTTATTTTCCTAAAACTTTTTCAATACTACATCTCTATAGCAACTGTCAGAAGAAATGACGTTGAATTAGGTTTCCACTTTTGCTCAGGCTTTCTCGAATATGGTAATTTTAAATAATTAATAATTTGTAGTTTATTTTTATTTACAACTAAATCGGGTATCAGAAAGGAGGAGGGTCATTAAGAGCTGCCAATTACAAAAGTAAAAAAAAATGCATGATTTTTATAGCTTGGAGCCAGACAAACAAGATACAATTGATTTTAACCCACATGGATCCACCCCTCACCATCCACTACCCAGCATAACCCCCAAATAGCCGACCCACATTCAACTACTATGACAGGTAGTAATGGGAGAAATATATCTTTTTACACATTCGCAGAGCCAGACAAGCAATATTCCGTTGATTTTGGGTCTAACAGATCCAATGTCTATCTTCCCATACCAACCTCCATAATTCTAATCACATCCAACCATTGTGGCAGGCAGGAATGCCAGAAAACTCAAACTAAAGCTCATATAAATACAAACTGGACTGGTAGAGTGTAATTAAACCATGGCCAGGAAAACTAAAACTGAACCTCTGACAGGCAAACTAAATCTTAACTCGGACACGGAAATTCTAACTGAGACTCAGACATGAAATCTATATCTGTAACAGAAGATCAGGCTGCCAAAACCAGGATGAAGCACCGACAGCAAACTCAAACTGAAGTCCAATCCAGTAAACCCAAGCTGAAGCTTGGACAGGGAAACTCAAACTGAAGCTCAGACATGGAAGCTCAAACTTTAACAGAAGCTCTAGCTGAAGTTCCGTCAGGCAAACGCAAACTGAAGCTGGGACGGGGAAACTTTGGACCAAAATTAACTGAATATTTCTTGTCTGGTCTAGGGATGTCAGTGTCTGTCATAATAGTTGAACATGGGTAAGGTGGGTTGAATCCGTTTAGCGTAAAATAGATGAATATTGCTTGTCTCTTGGTATGTGTAAATAGTTATCATAGATAAGAGATTTATAGAAAAAATATTTATTTACACCATAAAGGAGATAAGTATTATTTGCGCCCGAGCGGAGCGAGGGCTGGCAATAGAGACCGACACTGCTAAATCATACTTAACTGCTGCGTGGTGTATAATATTTTATCTGCTCCCACAGTTCTTTATGGTTCATGAAATACAATTATTTTTTGACATTTCTTATCCAATTAAATTTGACATTATTCGAAATCTTGCAAAGTCGCCTTGGTTGTTTGGATTTTGTCGTTTCTAAGGTGTATTAACAAAGCTACATAAAAGTTATGATTTTGCTGGTTTTGAATTATTATTTCTAAATGAGTGATTTTCTAATAAAAAGTGCAGCAAACGCTGCCCGCGAATTTTTATTGCCCGAGGAGTCGAAAGTGCATTACGGACGAGCATATAGAAATTTCAAAGAATGGTACCAGAACAAAAATAATGGTGTTATGGTGTTTCTGAAATGTCACTGCTAGCATATTTCATGGAGATGTCAAGAACACTAAAGTCACCGGTGAGTTTGTAGAGTGAATACTCAATGATTAAGCCAACTATTTTCATAGAGGAGAACATGGATATATCAAAATACCCCAAGCTGCTAATGAAGGTAGTGCTAATGGTAGTTGCTAATGAAGGTAGTGACGGTCTTAGGCATTGTAGTAGCATGCCGTTCTGATGAGTTATGCAAACTTTCTTTGGACAACGTCAATTTCAAAAATTTCGATGACATTATTGTAGTTACAATTCCAGATTCTAAAAATGGTATGTCTCGTACATTTACAATTACTTCTCGTCTAGGTTCTATTTCTTACCTAGAAATTCTCAAGAAATATATTAAGATTAGATTGGAAATTAAAACTGAAATTTCACACTTTTTTATGCGCTATCAAGCAGGTAGATGTTACAACCAACCAGTCGGCAAGAATACCCTTTCTATAATTTCTAATAAGATTGCACAGTTTCTGAAACTAGAACATCCTGAAACATATACAGGCCATTCATTCCGAAGAACATCGGCAACGTTACTGGCTAATACAGGAGTTGATATATTAGCAATCAAGAGACATGGTAGGTGGAAATCAGCCACAATTGCAGAAAGTTATGTTGCTGACAGTTTAAGTAACAAAAATGAAATAGCCAACAGGATTCTTTACAATAACATTTCAACTCTAGGTTCTAGTAGTACGTCGCATCCTACTGTTTTAATGGATCAGATAATATTGAGCCTCCGGTGACTGAAATGGAGCTGTCAAATCATTTTGAGAAAAAATTGACAATTAGTATGTGCGAGGGGAATAATTATCCAGATTTTATAAATGTTACTAAATGTAATAATTGTACAATTACTATAAATATTCATTTATAATAATTAATAAAATGTAATGTTCATCAAATATTTCTATTTATGTGTTCATAAAATATGCATTTATAACTCGAAATCTCTTTTTTATGTATTTTTTAATTTTAGGCTCCTTTACTTTTTGCGAAAATGTACAACGTTTACTGTGACTTTCGAGAACGAAATGTGCTTCGTATACTACTGCGCACCCGACCTTCACCGATATTTGAACTGTACTTCCTGTACTTCCACACGAGGATCTTAGGATGATGACGAGACTAACGTAAAATAATAAAAACAAAAATGTTCAGTGCGGAGAATAATTATTGGAATAAGATAAAGAAATTCGTGATCTGTGTACCCATTCCAATTATACTATTGCTAATGAAGTCATACAGGGTGTTGTGTTTAAGGCTGACCAGGCCGATATCTGGTATCTGGGAAACTAAAAGAGTTATCTAAGACCTGTAAAAAATATTGTAGGTATAGTTCAGATCACATTTCAATTTTGAACGCAAACCAAAGGACCCCGCACTTTTTATATGGAAAAGTGGTTTCAGACGGGAGGTCTAATTTTTGTGGAAAACATAGTTCTCAACATCCTGAACAAAAAAGCTAATGGGCACAAAAAAATCTACCGTCAGGATTTTGCGCTACGGCGCATATAAAGTCGGCACCTGGGTTTTCAGGAGTTGGGTTATTTTTATCAAAAACGAGCAAAACGAGCGTGTTCAGTGACCGATTATATGCATGCGTGGAGGTGTGTTGGAGTGAAAAAGTACTATATATATATCCCCCTTTTCTGTGTTCAAAACGAAATTCAAAAATGAGGATTCCGGTCTTCCATACCACCTAATGAAGTTCCGAATGAGGCGCATTAGCTTTTTTATAGTGGTTTTTCGCCAATAGCTCTATAATCCACTGATGTTCCACAAACTATGTCATCTCAACTACTTCGATTTCAACGTAATTATTGGCATTTGTTCTGGCATCGCGGACGCGATCTAATAGTACTGTACGCGTGGGTACGGAAAAAGGCGGTCACCCTTTTCTTTCATTTTTGAATCTCGTTTTGAACACAGAAAAGGGGGATATATAGTACTTTTTCACTCCAACACACCTCCACGCATGCATGTCTCCATAATTGGTCACTTAACACGCTCTTTTTTGATACAAATAACCCGACTCCTGAAAACCCAGGTGCCGACCTTGTATGCGCCGTAGCGCAAAATCCTGACGGTAGATTTTTTTGTGCCCATTAGCTTTTTTGTTCAGGATGTTGAGAAATTCATTTTCCACCAAAAATTAGACCTCCCGACTGAAACCACTTTTCCATATAAAAAGTGCGGGGTCCTTTCTTTTCGTAGCAGTGGTAAATCAAAGACAATTTTTCAATGACAGGAAAAACCATTACATTCTGCGCAACTTTTGCAATACAAACAATTTTCAAATTCTGATTTCCGAGATATCTGACTTCAAACTACTTTTTTGAAAAAAAAAAAGAGTTATTAACCTTTTCAAAATTAGGTTTAAATCTTAGCTGCTTTGGAACTTTCTGTAATATTGAGCTGCATTGGCTAAAATATTATCTGACTCTCTAATGAAGCTATGTTTCAAGAAATAGTTATTTCACAATAACTGTAATATCCGTAAACAAATGTCTTGATTTTATTTCCATGACATTAACCTTATTTCTTTATTATTATATTTATTTGTAAATGAAAAATCTGTACACAACTTATACAAGTCTATTAGCAAACTTTTGTAAGAATGTAAATGTAAATATTTCTGTAAAAGATACGACTTTGAAATAATTTATTTACATCTAGAGATGCAAGAGAAACGTAAAAAGTTCGTTAGTTTAAAATTTTTTCTCCGTATTTGATAATAATACATTCGTTCAAATATCTGGAAGAAATTTGAAATGCAGGTTAATGACGGATGGATAAATAAAGTAAAAGCGCAAAAATAATTCGCGTGGATTATGACGTCACTTTGGTAAGTAAATCTCGACATGAGACTTTATTTAAAATTAAATGCGTACATTGTCATGACAATATTTACATAAATATGTATTATCTCCAAGTTGATTGTTCTTTTTATTAACAATATCATAATCCGAAAACAGATAAAATTATACTCTTAGGGTTTCACGGTGTGCGAAATCTCTATTCCCTCTGTAACACCATTTTTGTTAATCAGTTGTTCAGTTATTGATGTCATCCACGGCCAGGAGGAAGTCATATGTAAGTCCTACAGTTATTTTAAAAGAAAATTATGTAAAGAAGAATATCTACCTATAATTATGCAGAAATGTGTTTAATTGAGGAAGAAATGTTCAAAAACGTTTTTCAAAAATTGATATAGAGATGATGTGGCACTATTTTGAGTAGTCTTGATTCATGTGTATTAAATTATGTATTATTAAATCTCAAACGTCAGCTAGTTCTCTTTAATTTGAGTTATGAATTTCAATTGCACCAATTTCATAAAAAACTCTAATTTAAAAATTTCGAAAAGGCACAATTCCGCTGTGCGCCCGTAAATGAATTATTTCGGTAGGTAAAAATCGATATTAATAGGCCGTAAATAACGAAAAATTATATATCAAAATATATAGAAAGGTACTCCATCTGACGAAACAAATAAGGATTAATGAATGGCCATGAGATTGCAATAAATGTAAGGAAGCTGTATTGATACGAGTTTTTAAAACATACACTCCTCGAATTTTTTTTAAGTACAGTAGCAAGTAATTGAAAACGTGTATTTCTATAAAACTAGAATGTTATAGGGGAAAACATATTAAAATTATAAAATAAATTCATATTAATCTAAAAAGATTGTCAATAGTATTGTTGCAAATTTTCTACAAAAATTGTATACATTATATAATTAATATTCAAGTTTGCAAAAGTAATCGTTAAAGTACACTTATATTATATTACTTAATATATTGCGATTTCATTTTGTGTTAATTTGTATTTAAAGTGAACAGTTGATAATGTCTTTGATGGTTTGTAACATAATTTTAATATGACGAGTATGTGCTTGTGCTTATACGGGGTGTTTATTAAGTACTTGAATCTTCGACTATTTTTAAGATAAAAAGTTCATATGAACATGGGAGGGCGACGGCTTGGTTTTTGAGATAGAGGGTGTCCAAAAAAATTTGGTACTTTAATTATATTTTTGTTCAATAACAAGGCAATTTGACGAAATTCTGGAAATAGGGAGTATTGATGATGAGAAACTCAAGTATTTACTTGTTTTTTGTTTAATGATAGAGGGGTATGTAATTTTTAACTAAACATACCTATTCTCCCTTCAATTTTACGAACAAAAGGTACTCTTAGTATTTGTCGCTGAAAGCAGTCCTTTTGTAATCAAACATGTTTAAAGTTAAACTTGCGTTGGAATTTTGCAAGTTGAATCATATCAGAGTTTTTGAAAAATAAGCGAAAAAAATAATGAAAATTAGAAAAAAATTAAAATTCGCAAAATACCAAACTAAAACTTTTTTTGGGCGCCCCCGTATCTCAAGAATCAAGCCGTTGCGGACCCATGTTTATATAAACTTTTTAACTTAAAATTAGTCAAAGATTCATTTAAAGTTTGTACAAGTACTTAATAAACATCCTGTATGTTTCTGGCATTTTTTAAAATGTAATTAAGTATGTATTTCCGCCACACTGAAAAGAAAAAAGAACTTGATATAAATAATCTCTTGAATCATTTCTTTAGAAGAAAAGGTCGCTTATTTAATTTTTTCTCTTTTCGCTGTGGCAAAAATACTCAAATAAAAAAACCACAAGTACGCGTTTTGGAGTATTTTTTTTAATAACTTTTTGTATTAACCTAACTAAGAAATTTTTCAATATTAGATGTGAACTTCACTTGATGAAAATTTGAGATTATTTTTATAATCAACTTGATTTAATTTTATTCATAGAGGAATGTAAAATGTCACTAATCATATGTCAACTATTTGAATTATTCCAAAATACTCAAAATTTAGCTTATAATTAACTTGTGGTTGGTAATAATTTCAACTAATTCCTTGGTTTTCAGCTTCATTTACAATAATTCAAATTTGCTAATCTCCATCTCTGTAAATGTTTTTTTTTTAATTTTATTCAAATGTTTTCTAAGAAGTTCCTTTTGGAGATTTTCTCACTTAATCCTAGTTCTTATTAAATGATAATATGATTATTTTAGACATACAGTTTTTTGTATTTAGGTTCCATTTAAGTTTCATTCAATTAAATTGAATCTTTTAATGAACCCAGCAGGATTGTTATTACCTTTTTACGTTTTTTATTATTTTATTAGGTCTTATAAATCGTGTTGCCGACCATAACTTTAATTACTGGGAAAATACTTACTTTAATTATTATTACACTGTCAATAACTAAATACACAAGTATATTAAAATAATTCGACATAAAATACTTTATGAAACTGCTGAACGGTCAATGCGAAGGTCATTACAAGCTAAAAAAATGTGTTATAATCAGCGTATAATACTGAATATTTTTTATAAACTTATTTGTTTTACATTATTGAAGTTTCTCAAATTATAACTCAATTTTTGGTGTTACAGTGACATGTACAAGCGTAAATAAAAGTCGTACCAAAGTTCTTCAAGTTGCAAAACTTCTTATTATAAAACTGTTTCCAATTAGACAGGGTGCTGCATTTCTTCTGGGCGTTACATAATTTTATTTAACATTATTACATTTCTTATTGAATTTAATATATACTGTGATGAACAAATATGATAAAAAGATGCAGTTTTCACCATTTATTAAGGCATGAAAGAAATGTAGATAAAATAATTCAAATAAACATATATAGTAATTATGGGAGTTAGAAGTTCCAAGTTTGTATCACAACACAGGCAGACAAAAAAGAATGGCCTTACATTCGAACCAAACCTACTGATTTCTGTGTATTTTGACGTGGTGAACTCGAATGCGAAGGTGGAATTGCTCTGTCAACTACCAATTTTGGGAAAATCACTCTTAAGTTATGCAACTTCTTATAAATATATGGTGCTAATGGGGTGTAATCGTGGAAAACGATTAGAGGCGAGGAAACTATATCCTCACGTATTTTAAGGCGCTGAATTCAATTTCGTAGTTAGAATTATCCCATCGACCCCCATATTTCTTAAAACTACCCTTAAATTATGATAACCACCAGGCCAGGTCCAGGCTTGGCATCTTGGCTTCTGGAGAGTATAGGGCGAAATATTGGTGCGTCTAAAGACACAGCAGAAAACATCGCTGCGGTGTTCCTTCCTAAGCAAATGTAGATATCTGGATTATAAAAGTATTGTTGCAAACATAGCGGAAAATTTCGGTTGTTTAGATTCTCAACTGACCGATTTTCCTGAAAATTTAGATGAATACAGTGAAAAATAAGGTGTATGTTTTCATCAAGATATCTAGCTAATTGTGTCAAGATTACCAAGTGAGATGTCAATATTATGTTGAAGTACTGGTAGATGCTAAATCGAGAACCCAAGATGAACATAGAAAACGCGTTCAGGATCGAATACACAAAATAAAAGCTGATTGCTATCAATTCTATGGAACTCTATCCACAGTGAACATTCATTGTCCAGTATCATTACGCTTATAGCGTTTCTTTTATCCTCGAGCTTCTGCGTAGTGGATTCCGAGCGCGTTTTCTACTTGTGTCTTTAATTTCTCGTTCGGCAGTAGTCTGCCATGATGTTAACGTCCCATCTACCCTAGTGCATTCTTTTCATTTCCTTGATATCTTGATGAAAACGTTCAACTTATTTCTCGCTATAATCACCTAAGTGAGAATCTAGAAATTATAACTTTAAATTCATTAAACAACCCAAAGATCGGAAATTTTTCAACATGTTCGCGACAGTATTTTCATAATCCGGGCTTCTATGGTTTCCTAGAAAGTGTTTAGCAACATCGCAAAAACTGAGCCACGCTGTTTCCTCTGCTCCTCTACTGTAATGGAGTTACAATGCAAAGTGGTGATGCCACATATCGCACGAAAAAACCTCCGAAGTTCTGTGATTAAATCGACAACGGCGCAAAAAAGATTTGCAGCGTTTTTACTTTAAAATAAATCTAAAGATAGATCTGGGCAAAGTACCGTGTCTTTAAAATGAATAAAATTTTGTTACACTGATTTTGAAGAAGAATTGTGGCACTTGATCACTACTACAAAATAAAAAAGTAGCACATACTTTATTACAAAAGCTGTTCGACATTTTGTCCCTCGACTCACATTTGGGCACACCGTAGCCAATTCTGCCGTATTAAATCGAATGTTCCTCCTGGTTGCCGTGTTTGTAAATGCAAATTATTCGCGGCAGCTGTGATACGCTCGCGCAAATCCTCGACAGTTTCCACTTCGGTACGGTAAACCTAATTTTTTAAATGGCGCCACAAAAAAAAGCCAAGAGGGTTTAAATCGGGAGACCGCGGAGGCCATGTTATCGGTCCATCCCGTCCAATCCACCTTACTCCATGCACATGATGGAAATAGTCTCGAACATCTAGCCGAAAGTGAGGAGATGCCCCATCATGTAAAAATCACATGCATTGTCGAACAACTAGGGGTACATATTCAAGAAGGACGGGCAGGTCATTGCGAAGAAATTCGAGACATTGTAAACCATCCATAAGATTGGGCAATATGAACGGTCTAATTAGGCGCTTATCAATATTTCCTGCCCAAATATTTAGTGAAAAATTGTGCTAGAAGTGATCCCGTTCAGTTGCTTGCGGATTTTCCAGTTCTCAAACGTATGTATTGTGAATGTTCTGTATTCCATTTCGAGTAAATAAAGTTTCATCTGTAACTAATAAATTGGGGATTATCATCATTTTGTTGCAACAACCACTCACAAAACCTAACTCGCAATGGATAATAATCCGCCGCCGGTAACAGTGCTGGAATACGTTGAATATGATATGGGTATAACTGAGCTCCGTGTAGTAAGCGCCATACTCCAGGCACCTGCCTAACAATCGGCCTTATACAGGGTGGGCAAATAAGCGAGGTAAGCGGCTGTATCTCAGAAACTAATGATCGTAGAGAGCTACGGTAAGAAATTTTATAGGTAAAGTGGGCAAGGGAAAATGCTGGAAATTATTTTCAAGTTTCCAAGATGGCCGCCAGTGGGCGTTTCCACCATCTTGAATTACATAAAGTTACGTTTCTCGCGATTTTCCCCAATGAATGTAACAAAAAAGTATTTGCGTTTTAATGTTAACTTAAAGTCGAATATTTTTTGTAAAAACAATTTTTCTCTATCTTTCGAAATAAAGTGGTGGGGGGTATTTGAATGTTGTTTGAAATAAATGCCTGTAACTTCGAAACGGCTTAATGGATTTGGATAAATTTGGTATCATTGAAAAGAGCATTTCTTGGGCTTTTAGGTTTCTCGTAATCATGACAGTTGCGACCTACACGGCCGCCGATAGAGGGCGTTATTCGATATTATAACCAAAATATTGGATTTTCTCAAAAAATTTAAATGCGATGATATGACTTTTTTTAGACTAGAAAATAGACAAATGACCAACCAATAAGCCTGCGCAAACCGCATCTTAATATCTTTTTCCTAACTCAAATTATTAAAAAAAANCTTTTTTTCAAAAAATCGATATATCTCGAAAAATAATTAATATTTTTAAATTTTTCAAAAATGTACTTTTTTGGCTTGCCGCGGGCTATGCTTGCAGTAAATAGCAAATATGGGCATGTAAATGTAAACGAGTTATAGAAGAAGAGAAAAGAGAAGATTTTTAACGGTTTTTTCGATATATCTCGAAAAGTAACAAAGCAATCGATACTTTCAAAAAATCTGTCGATAGATCTTTTTAAAACCTACAACTTTCTCATTTAAAATTTTTCAATCCGTGCTATATTTTTTTAGTTATTTTAGAAAAACCGTTTTTTTCAAATTTGCGATTTTTTTTAACCATGTTCGCCATATTGGATCGAGTTTAAAGAACAAGAAACTCAATTTAAAATTTAATTTTCTATACGGTCATATTTTTTTCGTCCAGGTAATAATTTCTGAAAATTTAACATTAATCCGTGACAGAATGCTTGGACTATTTGTCCTCGAGCTCCTGCGTAGTGGATTCCGAGCGCGTTTTCTACTAGTGTCTTTAATTTCTCGTTCGGCAGTAGTCTGCCATCATGTTAACGTCCCATCTACCCTAGTGCATTGTTTTCATTTCCTTGAGATCTTGATGAAAACGTTCAATTTATTTCTCGCTATAATCACCTAAGTTTTCAGGAAAATACTCCAAGTGAGAATCTAGAAATTATAACTTTAAATTCATTAAACAACCCAAAGATCGGAAATTTTTCACCATGTTCGCGACAGTATTTCCATAATCTGGGCTTCTATGGTTTCCTAGAAAGTGTTTAGCAACATCGCAAAAACTGAGCCACGCTGTTTCCTCTGCTCCTCTACTGTAATGGAGTTACAATGCAAAGTGGTGATGCCACATATCGCACGAAAAAACCTCCGAAGTTCTGTGATTAAATCGACAACGGCGCAAAAAAGATTTGCAGCGTTTTTACTTTAAAATAAATCTAAAGATAGATCTGGGCAAAGTACCGTGTCTTTAAAATGAATAAAATTTTGATACACTAATTTTGAAGAAGAATTGCGGTACTTGATCACTACTACAAAATGAAATTTATAAAAAAGTAGCACATACTTTATTACAAAAGCTGTTCGAAATTTTGTCCCTCGACTTGTACACACATTTGGGCATACCGTAGCCAATTCTGCCGTATTATAGCGAATGGTCCTCCTGGTTGCTGTGATTGTAAATGCAAATTATTCGCGGCAGCTGTGATACGTTCGCGCAAATCCTAGACGGTTTCTACTTCGATACGGTAAACCTCATTTTTTAAATGGCGCCACAAAAAGAAGTCAAAAGGGTTTAAATTGGGAGACCGTGGAGGCCATGCTATCGGTCCATCCCGTCTAACCCACCTTACTCCATGCACATGATGGAAATAGTCTCGAACATTTAGCCGAAAATGAGGCTATGCTCCGTCATACAAAAATCACATGCATTGACGAACAACTAGGGGTACATATTCAAGAAGGGCGGGCAGGTCATTGCGAAGAAATTCGAGACATTGTAAACCATCCATAAGATTGGGCAATATGAACGGTCCAATTAGGCGCTTATCAATATTTCCTGCCGAAATATTTAGTGAAAAATTGTGCTAGAAGTGATCCCGTTCAGTTGCGTGCGGATTTTCCAGTTCTCAAACGTATGTATTGTGAATGTTCTGTATTCCATTTCGAGTAAATAAAGTTTCATCTATAACTAGTAAATTGGAGATTATCAGCATTTTGTTGCAACTACCACTCACAAAACCTAACTTGCAATGGATAGTCCGCCGCCGATAACAGTGCTTGAACACGTTGAATATGATATGGGTATAACTGAGCTCCGTGTAGTAAGCGCCATACTCCAGGCACCTGCCTAACAATCGGCCTTGTATGTACATACGTATTTGCGGATATTCATATTCAACACTTGTTCTTCAGCTGCCAAAATACGTTGTGAACTCCAGATTTGCACGTAAATTACCAGTATCACGTCAAGGCCACTTTTTTCGTGTGCTTGTGAATTTGATTTTTTTTCCTTACTAGGTATTATTATTATCAGAGCCACGGAGAAATGAAACACTCTATATATACATATGCTTTTTCTAAATAATGTAGATACCGATAGAGATATTTATATCAAACACGATTAATACATTCTGTATCCTTGCAAATTATTTATTTTATGACTTTGAAGTAATATTGCCGCTACATATTCTTCATAATATTAGTTTTTGATATATCAATCAATGTTATTCTACATTAAATAAATAAATTTATTTTATTGACATAATATTTAATATTTTTATGTTTGTATTTTTCAGATACGTGCCACCTTTTGAACCTCCACGGTATTGACTTTCATTAAACTGTAATGAAACTACTTATTAACGAAATGAAGGAATTCGAAACGGTTCCATTGTACGAAACTCAGTCATCTACAAATAGCTCCGCTTGGCAAAGTCAGAATAAAATTTCTGGCGAAACGCTAGAAAGAGGATTTGAAAGGTATGAGTTTATCGACTGTGGCACTCCACCAGAGGAAGAAGCCCCCGACGTATTCCGCAGTTTAGAAAGAACCACTTCGCTGAATATAACGGAAGAACTATGCCCCTCTACGATCAGAACTCATCTTTTGGAACACATGTCAGTAGTGTCCTCTAGATTAAACCTATTGTTCGATATAGAGAATAAGAAAACCGTTCAAGAAAAGCTCGAGGTCATTTTCGAAAACTCTTCCAAGCAAGAGATCAACATAGCCTTTCTTTGGGCGGCCTTCGTGAAGCGTTGGGATTTACTGGAAGGTTTCCTAAGATTGGGCGCAGATTTAAACTACCACGAACCAAAAGACGGTTTAGGTGCTCTACATCTTGTAGCATTTAGCGACTGCATACCTGGAACTCAGTTTCTCATCAGCCAAGGTTGCGACGTCAATGCCATTTATAAATGCTACGCACCCTTGCATTGTGCTGCTTTCGGTGATAGTTGCGATACCGCCATGATACTTCTCCATAACGGTGCCAGCGTTCAGGCTTTAACTAATACCAGGTTCAATTCCAAAGAAAGCGTACTGCACTGTGCCGTTCGAGCAAACTCCGTAGCTTGTATCAGACTTTTTTCCCATGAAGGCGGCGACGTAGGACAGGTGGAGTTTTCTGGGATGTCACCCGTTCACTTGGCGGCTGATTTGGGGCGAACGCAGGGTCTCAAGATTCTGCTTGAAGTCAAAGGCGTCAATGTAAATGCTAAGACAAAGGATAAAGAACAGACTGCGCTACATTTAGCAGCAGAAAATAGTCATGCAGAATGCATAGAAGTTCTACTGGAAAAGGGAGCTAATGCTGATATTAAGAATCACATGTCGCAAACTCCTCTGCACCTAGCAGCCAGAGCAAAAGCGCATTTATGCGTGGAACTGCTACTGGAAAAAGGTCGAGCAAATCCAAATATTGAGGATTGCGATAAAAGAACTGCTCTTCACACCGCAATAGGACGAACCTCTGTATCTTCTGACATAATTGATATTTTGATAAAGTATGGAGCTCATGTCAATAAAAGAGATCAATTTGGCTACACACCTCTTCATGTGGCTGCTCTAAATGGACTTTCGCAGTGCGTTGAAATGTTGATCAACCATGGGGCCGACGTGACGACTAAATCTAAATGTGGCATCACTCCACTAGGAGTCATGAGGCGCAAAATACCAGCGTCTTTAGTAGCGATAAAAAACAAATTAGACTCCGCTATCACTTTGTATCAGAACTCTAATTCTTCGAATAACGAAGTAGATTTGCGGCTGGATTTTAGATGCATTCTGCAGCACAGTTACCCTCAAGAGATAAGTTTTCTGAATAGTTTTGTAGACGAAGGTCAGAAGGAGCTGTTAATGCACCCACTCTGTTCGGCATTTATTTATTTGAAATGGCGTAAAATTAGAAAATATTACATTGCAAGAATGTTTTTCTGCCTCATATTCGTGCTCAGTTTATCTTTGTATGTACTAACTGCCTTGGCCCGCAATTGTTCTATCCATGGAAGAAAAGAATACATAACTGGCGAAGATGACGTTATGGAATTATGCGAAGATAATTCTATGCTTGGGAAATTGCTACGGGCGAATCCGTTTGTTATAAGGATGCAGTGGTTTGTATTAGTGGGAATAACCGGCGTCGAAATACTGAGGAAAATGTATGGATTGTCAGGATACAAAACTGTTAAACAATATTTTTCGTACCCGGAAAACATTCTGGAGTGGTTGGTCATATTGAGCGTTTTTATCACCTCCTTCATTTATACCGGACGAACCCACATGTGGCAGAACCATGTTGGAGCCTTTGCTGTACTATTTGGTTGGACCAATCTAATGTTAATGATAGGACAACTGCCTGTATTTGGATCTTACGTAGCCATGTATACGAAAATTCAAGCCGAATTCGCCAAATTGCTGTTGGCTTACTCATGCCTACTTATAGGTTTTGCTGTAAGCTTTTGTATTATGTTTCCTGATTCCTCTACATTTGCAAACCCCTTTATCGCTCTAATTTCTGCTATTGTAATGATGTCAGGAGAATTAAACCTTGATATTTTGGTGGACGGAGATCCTGAGAACCCACCACTTTACCTTGAAGTCAGCGCACAGATTACTTTTACTCTTTTTGTACTTTTCGTGACCATTATCTTGATGAATTTGTTAGTGGGTATAGCTGTAGATGACATCCAAGGCTTACAAAAAACTGCTGGTTTGTCGAAACTAGTTAGACAAACCAAACTGATATCACACATTGAACAGGCACTTTTCAGCGGAAACTTACCTCAAACTTTATTGAAATTATTGCACTGGTCAGCTTTGGTTTCTCCAAGAGCTTATAGAGTTATTCTAAACGTGAAACCGCTTAACCATCGAGAGAAGCGGTTGCCTAGGGATATATTGGAAGCAGCCCACCAAATTGCTAGAAATAACTTGGAACGCATGTCTAACAGTGTTACTGAGGAAAAGGGCTCTTCTGAATGTAATATGAGCTTGTCACTACTGCAAAGTGACATAGAAAAGCGAGACAGACAGTTCGAACAGTTGTCCAAAGAAATTAAGGAACTAAAAAGTAATTTTAACATGTACCAAAAAAGTGTGGAACAATTAATAAATACTATTATACAAAGTAGAGGAAATAGTACCTGTTAAAATCTATATATAGAAAAATAGATAGGATTTGTAATACGTAAGGATATATTTAAATATTAAATATTGAGCTTTATGTCAAATATCTTGGTGTATCTATATTTATTCATTTATTTAGAATATATTTTAGAGTACATGTAATATAGTACAAAAAGACTGAATTTGTAGCTATTATAAATACAGTTGGAATATTATTAGCTACAGTATTATGATCTGAACGCGAATTAATTGTTGTTAAATGAGGCAGAATAAAGATTTGTTTTGAGAATGTGTAAATATTACTTTTGTAAAATACTTTGCAAACGAAAAAAATATAGTATATACCTTCATATAATCAATAAAGTAGATCAAGTGAAATATTAAAAGTATTTTTACTGTTTTCCTTCAGATCATCAAACTAAAAGAAATATGGAGTATAACAAATCTACACACCTAAATTATCTAAGGAAGCTCTAATAAATATTTATGTTTTTCTCTATTTAATGTAGCTTTCGGTTACTCGCCGGTACTGGAAAATTGCAAAAATAATATTCGTCAATTTATGACAGAAGCATTACAAATAAAACTGAATGAATAATCTCTTAATCTACGGATTTTAACAAAAATCTGTTAACGCGAAAATCATATTTTTAATTCAAATAAAACCAATTAAATAATAACGGAAATTATTCTTTTTAATTACGTATATTTATTTATTCAGCCTTTCAAATCATAATTATATAATAATTAATGCAAGTAAAAAATTCTTTCTTCTGTATTTTCCTTACTTAATACAGTAGGTTGAATCTGAAAAAAAAAACGAAAACATTTATTAGATACGTATGTAGATGCGATAAAACATTTCTGATAGAACTATCTCTTGAATTATTATTTTTATTTTAAGCATTATGCATTATTATATCACAAAACACATAAATAACAACATAATATGAAATTGACCTTATTAATAAATTAGTTTTGGTACATTGATCAAAGACTCAATGATCTACACTTACAAAGTCACTTTTTAGTTGTCGCTGCATTAGAAAAATATATAAATAAAAATAATAATAATTTGGTACTTTTGTATAATAGACTTGGAAAATATTATTTTACTATTGTTATTTTTAACTACGTCTTTCCGCTATTCCTCAGATAAACAGAAGTAACTACGTCAGTGATTTAATAGACTTGTGATGATTATCATAAACCTACATTGTACTTAAATCATATTTGGAAAAAAATCATGTATCTCTTTTTGTGGAACAAGTCGTTTATCCAATTTCTAATTGTAAGTGGTGCCGAAATTACTTAATGGCAATATTTTGCCAGAATTTCCGTCACTGATTAACATATATGTGTACCATTTTTAAACTTCAATATGTTGTATCCTTGAAATTCTATAGCTTTAGACATTTGGCTCTTTAAGACTTTGTTTATCTGAAATAATTCAATGACAGTACCTATCAGTAAATTAAATACAGTGTATTCCATTTAAAGAGGGTCCAAAACTTAAAAGTTGGTAGGATCTTTTGAAAGATATTTCTTCCTCTGTTTTCTAGGGTGAGATAATTGATGGCGATGGTTTCGTAAACTGAAACACTTGCGTACTACCCCTATCAGGGAAAAATCACCCCAATTTCCAAGTTCGAAAGCAATAGAAAAAAATATAAAACATGTTAAAAATACTCGTTAATGTTTCATAGGGGTTTTCGAAAGAGGGAATTACTACGCCCAACGTACAAATACGCATTTTCTTTAAAAACCCAATCGAACAAGTTTGCGCAGTTCTAGCCCTGACAAAGTGGAGAACGGGGTGCTTTTGTACTTTGGAGGTAGTTACGAGAGGATGGGGTGAAAAATAACATCACCATCGTGATCCCTACCCTTGAGAATTCCTATGAAACCTGAAAGCAAAGGTTTAATCTACGAAACCATCACCATCGGCTTTCTCACCCTCGAAACTAGAGTGCACCAAAAAAAAGGAACTTTACAATTTTCTTGATTATTTGGTTTCTGTACATTTATAAACCAGTTAAGTTTCATCTTACCAGACGCTCTTGAAACTATCCATGATAAATAGGAAGTTACTCTTGTATTTACTCCAGGCACTTGACTGCCACAAGCAAGCCCGTACGAAATTATACCTACTAAGTGCAGTCTTCTAGTACTGGTATCCAACCAAAGTAGTGGCCCTAGAATAAATCAGCATTACTGTAATTATTTGACTACGGAAAAATAATAACATAGTTTAACTTTTCATTGTATCTCAATTATGTATAAATTGAAACGGTTTGATATTGTGGTATGAAATAACTTCCTGCAAAACGATAATATTGATTTAACCAACTTTGATTTTAGTCATAGACTATGATTCTAAATTGAAAATAGGGATGCACTTTAAAAAAATTATATTACCGACATTTTTATCTAAAAATTTATAATAAGAGTATATCTTAGCATCCCTAGAAACCTCTCTGTATCAAATGAAAACAAAATATTTTCAAATGTGCTTAAGATATTGGTATCTAAACAACTAGTTTTTTTACTTTAGCGTAATCATTAATTTAAAAACTATTAAAGTTAGATTAGCTTTTCCACCTTCTGTTTATATTAAACTATCAAATTCTCGACTTTTTTTATCTAGGGCTTAAAAAGGATTAGTGTAGGAACTACAAAAGAAAACAAAATTACTATATAATTATCTCTATTTCTGATGTCCTATTAGTTTATGAGGATTAGTTTCCTGTTATGAGATGATTTAAAAAATAAAATTAGGGAAACGTGGCAAAATTACTGGACAAGAGATAAAAGGGAAGAAAAATATTAAATGGGTACATACGTATTTCTAAAAGCTCAATCTTTTTATTTTCTAATAACCATTCTGCCATGCTAAAATGTGAAAACGTTTTAATTTCAAATAACAGAGATATAAGGGTGGCTCCGTGAAAAGTGAAACGGAATAAACAGTAGTGTTTAACCACTACACTGTACTACAATTTTTTCAGAAGTAATAGTGGTTTTAAACTTTTACGGCCCATGTTGATATTTAAAGTATGAAGGGTTTTTGGATTATTAAGCTGGGGCCTACGTAGCTAGTTACCTTCAATTGCAGACTTATAAACTAATGTAAAAAATTAAAAGGTCAAAAGAATTTCCGAAATTTTTCCGTGATTTTTGACAGACTGAATTTAAGTGAAAAATGGTCGTATCGCAAATTAAAAAACGTATATTGAAGCTCTAAAATTCTAGTTTTTAGATCTTTTGGTCGAAATTTTTTATTAGCTACGGTTATCATGTAATTCTACGAAATAGCGCGACAAAAAATTTTACAATTTTTTTTTTTTCGAAAAATTTTTTTCAGCTACTTAAACCATTGCATAGAACCAGATAGCTTGTTTATTCAGCTTCAATTTATTTTTTATTAAATTTCGATATGACCATTTTTCATCGAAATATCGGACTTTTAATGAAAACGGAACACTTTTCTCTTTAATCACCGATATCTCGGCGACAAATGGTCGTACAGATAATTGAAGGGCAGTTTCGAAAACTTGAATAAATTTCCTACATGCTGCCGCAACTTTTCGGAAAAAAATTGTTTTTTCATCTTTTACACGAACTTAAAAAACAGGAAAAAAATGGTAATTTATGGTTTTTTAGAAAATTGACGGCTAAATAAGAAATATTCACAAAATGACTAATGTTAAGCATGACTTTTACAGTTCGATATACACAAATTTTTTTGTCACGCTATTTCTTATAATTGCATGATAACCGTAGCTCCTAAAAAATTTCGACCGAAAGATCTACAAACTAGAATCTTAGAACTTTTTTTAATTCCCGAGACGACCATTTTTCACCTAAATACAGTCTGTCAAAAATCATGAAAAAATTTCGGAAATTCTTTTGACTCTTTAATTTAATGCATTAGTTTATTGTACTTGCTTAGCCTTAGCTAGAAATATTTGACTTGCCCTTATTCTTGGGCAAGCTTCTGTGGGGCGGACCTGCCATCAGAATCCCTAGACTCGCTCATTAAAGTTCTTGTTGCTGGTTCTAAGACCGCTAAGTAAGGAATAGCTCCTCACTCAATGGTGGTCCTCTGAGATGTTCCGTAGTAGCATTTGTAATTTAGACCAGGCAATAAAGAACGATTTACCCCAAAATATCTAGATTTTCGCGGCCCGGTCCGATTTTAATGCGGTTTTTTGCATTTTGTTCAGAAAGACCGTCGGAAAAAAGTCCCGCCTTTTTTATTATCCGGAAGTGGCGGAAATGCATCGCGGGTGCATAAAGTGCATCTAGAAGTGCATCGCATCCGAGAAACTTGCCAAAGTGCACGAAATACCGCAAAAATTGGTACTCGGGGGTTTTGGGGGGCGCAGAATTCGAATATGCATATATCCAGTCCACCCGATCCCCCGGGGGGCGACTTCCGGCCGCCTGGGGGGCGCGGGGGGCACGTGGATTGCAAGGTTCTCCGAATGACTGGAAAAATGGATCTCGGGGGTTTTCGCGGGTGCTGATTCCGAATTCGAGGGTGAAAAATATCCCGTGTGCTCGTGGAGGGGGCGGTGGGAGGGGGGGGGATTATGAATTCTAAAGTTCTCGAAATGACTGGGAAAATGTATCTCGGGGGTTTTTGCGGGTGCTGATTCCGAATCTGAGGGTGAAAAATATCCCATGTGCTCGTGGAGGAAGAGGAAGAGGAGGAAGATAATTTTGATTGGTATTCATAGTTGTTTGATAAATGAGCCCGTGTGACAATTAATACAGAAGCAATGTGCATTGAATATAGTTTAAAACAATAAATATATTTAAAAAAATTATCAGGCTTATCCTTTCTTTTTCCAACAGAACATTTTAGATTGAGCTTCGTCTCATGATTTTCTATTAATTTATATTCATCCTTCTTAGAAGATTAACGCCCTTCCCCAAAATAATCAGAAATAGTAATCGGACGCATTTGGCAGGATCAGATTCGGAATCAGCACCGGCAAAAATTCACGAGATCCATTTTTCCAGTCATTTCGGGAACTTTAGATTTCATACCCCCCCCCACCTCCACGAGCACAGGGGATATTTTTCACCCTCAACTCAAATCATCACATTGGTACCAATATGTGCATGACATGATGATACAAAAGGATACCGAATGAGTTATCAACCCAAACGTTCACAAAAAGAATGTTAGAAACCAAATGGAGATTAACTGACAATGTAATAGGCATTGCAGAGAAAAGGAGTGCATTCCTACACGAAAATTCCAAGAGGTGTTAAGGCCAGTAAAAGACCGGCTTGGCCCTCTGGATTCTGGATTTTGGAATAGTTTGGAGGGTAGCTCAGTATGAGCTACAGCGCTTAGGCCGCATTGGGCCCCTTGTGCATCCTCCCAGCGAGAGTTCAGCTCTCCTGAGCCGTCAATCAGCCTATCAAGGAGAAAAAGGTGATGACGTTGCTCAGGGGGATTTCTCGGATGTAGGCCATAGAAGGTCACGGTTCTCCTAACACGGATTCTCTCGTTGACGAGACACACCAGTGCACAGTAGCCAACAGTGTCCGGTCTGAATACCCGTCACCAGACGAAGGCTTACACTGGACATGGCCAGGTATTTTTTGGCTGTCTTTGCTAGGGTATCCTAAGAACTCTTTAGCAAATTGACAGCTGTTTATTTCATCCCTCCATGTTCTAAACTCTTTGTGGAAGTTTTCTTTAATCATTCAAAAAGTGCTGACACCTCTGGGATGTACCGCATAAAATGTGAATGTGGAGAGGATTATCAATACTAGTTGGACTTTCCACCCCACTCTCACCACTGTACTGCGCAGGTCTAGATGCGCGCTCACCGATACCGACGCTGTAAGATCGGTGTTAAAAACGCAAGCGGCTTGAGTCGCGGCGAAGTTTTTGAAGAGACTGGAGATGCAGAGAAAACGGCGAAACATTTGGAGGCATTGGATGCGACCTGTTTTAAAGGTTCCCACGGAACGCCTCACATGAACGGTTCCATCTTTATCGGTCTTAGAATCAATAACAAGAACCGAAATGAACATCAGTGTGGGCCAAAGATTCCCAGCTAAAACCATCACACTGATTATCCAGAAGTGTAAGTATTAATGAAATTAGTTAGAATAGGTTTTGTTTAACATACCTCCTGAATCACTTTGACACGAATCCTTGCCAGAGCTATAGGTACACATTTGTTTACCAGTAATGGGGTTAGTGTGCTGTGGAGCACACTCGGTGTTGGAGACTATCGTTAAATTCACTTCTAGCAAAACATCTGACGTTGGACCAGAAAATTCCGTTTGACCCCATCCTAGAAGTAGTTAGAAGCTTTCAATTTCAAGTATCAAGTAATAATAGCAGAAAACAATTCGTATAAAGCCTATTCTATATCTATAAATAATGTTCATATATAAATGTCCCATACAAAAAAAAAAACATTCCCATAAACATTATCAGTCATTACATTACATTACATTACATTACTCGTTCGGTTTTAATATTTCAATGAATTTATTTCACAGTAAAACAGCTATAGGAATTTTTGCAGACTACATATTTCTAAATTTTGAGAGAGCTGAAAATAAATGATGATACTAGAATTACAATATTCCATATTTGCCCTTTTTATTTTTCCTTCCTGATGGAAAACAAAAAGTTTGCGGACAAAAGTATCTAGATCTACACTAGGCTAACCATAGAAATAAATGATCAATCGGTCTATTTACTGTCCTTAAAATATCCGATTCTTATTGTTAGTGTTGATATTAATATAATACTTACCTAAGGCAGTCACTGTTTGACCGTAGAAGTCGAAAGAAGTGAATCTAAAAGGTAAGCATACTGGTCCTACGTAAATACTGAATACTATCGGGCGGTCTGTTCTCAATATTGCTATGTCGTTAGCTTGTGTAGTTGTATTATAATCGGGATGCATTTCGTATGCAGTGACCCGATATAGTGCCGCGGTAGTAGTATCTCCACCTGTAAATAATTAATTTCTTTTTCACTTCTTGGTAATGAAATGGATCGTGGTGTAATTCAACAAAACGAATAGAATTTTTTATGAGATCAAAATAGGCAGAATTGATATTTGAACATCTGGGTCAGAAAAAACGTGATTGAATTTTTAAGATTATACAGTTTTATACCTAATAATTTCAGATAAAATTGCTAAAATTGAAGTAGGATTTTTGGGAAAATTTAATTTAAATGTAGATAAACATATAGTCCACCACTTATTAGTCTGAATTGCCAGAAATGTCTCACTATGAAAGTTAGTCAAATAAGAATGAGACATTATTTTATTCATAAAATATATTATTTCTTTTTCATTTGGTTTTATTCGATATTGGTAAGCGTATTTGTTCTCTGTATAAATCATATCATGTAAATCCGCCAGTCGATGTTTCCCTTAATTATCCCCTATTTAAGAAAGAATTTGGATCTCAGACATGCAAGAACCATTTGTCTTCTTTTGGGATAGAACATTCAGCATTACCTTTGCATGTGACCGTCCTTTTCCCTAAGTATATTTAACAGCAATATTTAACATCATTATAAGGAATAATAAATGAGGAATAATACACTTTGGTTTATTACTCGGGAAAACTGTATCAGATCCCATTGCAAGTTCATCTGGTTTTTATTTCTCTCAATACATTTCACTGGCATGCAACACGGCTTGATTGTGCCAGTTAAAGACTGATTTCCATATAGGATATATAGTCCAATTAGTACAAGAAAAAGTTAAGAGGCCATTTTTATGTAGAATTGTCTGCTTTACAACTTCCATGAAAAACTTTGTTTTCTAGCTCTTACCCTTTTTGAGTTATCTTGAAAAAGTCCTTTGTTTTATCTTTTTCCACCCTTGGCCGGGGGTTGAACAAAAAATTACTCTCACTTATTGTTATAATATACCTTAAACTAACTCATATCAAAAATTCAGCCAAGTTGGCAAAATTTCGATTTAAAGGCTTAGTTAATTGGACTAATAGTTCTTCGACTGTGTCCATACCGTGTGCTCTATTGACTGATTCGTATTGAACGACGCTCTAAGGACACTGTCTAACTGTCTATGCACGGTACCCTACGTATAAACCAGCTTTAATTTAGCAAATGCAAACTCTATCAAGGTTTTGATACACATTTTTTAAAATTGGCCTTTGTTGCAAGGTTGATTAATGGAATATGAAGTGATTCTGCAAATACACTTTAAGTTTTCTACTGTAGAGAATGCTACCATACTATAGCTTTTTGGCAGCCTGTCTCAGTTGAATACTCCTGCTCCTATTCTGCTGTTTGTTTTTTGTAAATCACACCAGGTTTCATTTTCTAGTCCTCTATTTTCTCTTAGAATCTCATGGAAAATATTAGAAATAGTCCAAACGCTTCATCTAGTTATATGTCCTGCTTCGAAGACGTGCTAAAACCTTTCTTCTGTATGTATCTTTAGAACATTTTCTGTTTCAGAGCACTGGTAGTACAACTCACAATCAGAGGAAGTTTAAGGCTGAATGGAGGTAAATGCTTATATATCTTTTTTTCACCCACTTAGATTCATCAAAACCTCATAATTTGTAATAGTAATGATAGTTCGCGATAGTTATCAAAGAATTTACCATAAACTTTATTACCAATAGAAAAACTAGTACGTACTTTAACGCCCAAGAACTAGGTAATTTTCAAACTTGTTACTGTTTGACTGGGTTGAAGTAGTCATAGTAGATCAGTAATAATGAAACTGACTTAATGAAACTAATTTACTTCTACAATATGAAAGTTTCAGGCGCATGAAATTATTATTTCTGTTTAAGGATTCTATAAAATCTGCTTCACTCATAAACAATTTTTTTAGTGCCACATGTGTAGTAATCATACAAAAACAATTCGTTCTCACTCTTATTTGACTAACCATAATAACTGGATTACTTATATATTACTCGGATTCTAGTTAATGAAAATATCAGTAATCTTTTTATTTTCCGTCTCAATTTATCTTAGTGTCTTGTCTAATTTTAGCTGTATTTTATCTTCTAATTTCAGGTCCAAATAATAAAAAAAAAATCACTATTCCGGTTGGTTATAAATATTGTTTTATGGTGATGTTGAATTGTGTAGAATAAAATAAAGTAAAAAAAATATATAGTGTAGATTATTAAAACTTATTTTATTTATAACCAATAACCTTGTACGGTTTGTTCAAGTTACAAGTTCTCTCCTTAGTAAAATTATTTTACCTGCAGAAATATTATGGTCTCCAACTAGTACTCCAATGTTGTTAGCATTTCTGTTTAAAACACAGTGAGCAGCTGAAAGAACATATCTGGTCGATATGATGGAAGATCCGCAATATAGCTCTCCTAGTGAAGCATCGACGAGTCCAGCCATTTCGGGATATTCATTTATTCCAGTCTCTTGTCCTCCGACGATGCGGGTCTTAAAAAAATCAGGTGAGGTATTTTTAAGTTCAAGTATAGGGTATTATCTCATGTTAAATTGTTGTAATGAAAAATATAAGTTTGAAATTTTGAATATCATTGGGAACATGTTTTTTTACAATTAATTTAATAACAGACCACGATGTTTTTGTAAATTGATAACTATATTAAGAATACGGAGAAGCAATGACTTCTAAAGTTATTTGTAACAATTCAAGGCGGAAACTGAACACAAACTGCTATTTACCAAAATGACTGTAAATAAAGTGAAGAAGATACTATTTGTACGACAAAATTAACATTTAATAAATAAAGAAAGATCATTATTAAAAGAATTTAAATATATTTTATGCATAATGTGGACTAGAACACCTTTGTAACTTGTAGCATAATTTGATATAGAGGACACGTTTTTTTTCTACAGACGAAATCCAAATGAGCACGAAATTGATAAAGTAAAAAAATAACATTAGATTTTACAAGGGCGCTTTGGTTCTCAGTCGACCATTTATTGTCCAGAGGCGGGGGATGGCCACAATTTTTTACTTTTAATAACATAAACATAAAAGTGTAACATATTTTTCAATCTTTGATTGACGATCTCATCGTGAATGCTCGAAAGTATGAACTATAAAAAAATGATTAAGAAGGTCGTAGTTAAATTTTCTATTTAAATCTGTTTCATTTTTCTCCTTTTGTTCGTAAGAGTAACACATGTCATTGAATTTTATATACAAAGCATATACTATATAATTTAACTGTATTTTCGGCTTTTCTGACAGATCTATTTAATTTTCTATTTCATATTATTCATTGCGGTTTAGTATCGAAGAAATGGATTATTCAGAGCAGAATTTTCTAGACAAAATAAATAATTTCCTCATAATTGAGTATAAAATAAATGTTTTTGTAAATATTCCGTTATTATTATTTAATAACTTATTCACAATAATATCTTACTGATAACGAATTTAGCATCATCAGCATTCTAGAAATGAAAAATCCTAAATATGAAAAGATCTGTGCTCAAAAAAATAGTTTTTGGTCCACCCATCTGGAGCGCTGAATCTTAAACAAACTAAGTATTAGAGTTTCCACTCTACAGTGTATATTTTGTGATCTCCATCAACTCCGAGTTGCTATACACGTAAGCCATTTTTGACACTTGAAAAACTAATGTAAACACTATTCGGAATATACAATTTTTGTACTTCTGAAATGAAAATGATTTACTTAAATTCTATTTTTTTTCATGATTTGTTAAACATATTCTCTTAAGTAATAGTGGAAGCTTTATTAGAAAGTTTAAATAAATAAAATAATAAACAGAGTTCAACACTTAAAGATACTCAAGCCCGGGTATAATTTAATTTCAATGTGTAGAAATTTTTAAGACCTACTGAAACAACTAGTTAATTTAAAGAGAAAGTGATTATAGCAAAATGGCGACTCCTGAAATTTATTTTTTCTAGCGGCTTTTTTCTTTGACGCACTGTATTAAAATTTTTACGGATAATTCCTTCAAATAGGCCACGAAACGAGCTTTAGTTTGGTTATATGGAACGATAGTTTTTGTTTCATTTCTATGGCTGTAATATTATATTTAACTTACTTCGTGTCTCCATCCACAATCACAAACATTTGGTGTTTCTGTAGTAGACGAACTAGAATCCTGTATAGCAGTAAGGGTACATACGAATCTTCCACCAGCTGAATTACTAGCCGCAAATAAACCTGCAACAGTAAATATTGCTTTTACTTCACTATACAACTACTTTAATACGATGTTCCCTACATCGACATTGATTCAAGCAAAAGCAGCACAGTAGAGATTGCAATAAAAAGGTAAAGAATATTTATCCACAGTTCTGAATATTGATAGACATACATACATATATAGACGAGTAGGCAAAATTATTGTCCTCAATTGAAATGTAACGTCCTTCGTTCATATTTTTTTGGAAATGATGATATGGCTTTAATTTGATTAAAAATAATCATCTTTGACTACTTGAATTTTGAAAACAAAAGACGTCGTTTTTGGCCACGGCTCATAGGAAAAGATATTCTTATTTTTTTATGTTCTCTGAGGCTCTGAATTTGTGATATCTTTTTCCAAATCTTCTTTTAACTAGGTACGTTGTGTAAAAAGCTACTTTTTTTTATATAGAACTGTATCAATAAGGAACTAATTATTATGATCCTTTTACTCTAAACGAGATTATCATATTAATACCACAGACAATATTTTGTCTGTGTTAATACGTACCAATAGCAATGGCGTTTCCTTCTGTGACTAAACTAAGTGTTCCAGTTCCACAGTAATTATGAGAGTCTGTGAAAGCATCATTTCCGGATAATGAGATGGACAAGCGGTCAGCATTACAGTTTGAAGACTAAAAATAAAATAAGTAGGTAAATAAAAATGAAAATAAACACATTAATTTTACACCAAGATATAGATTTTTGTTTTATTTACACACAATTTTGTTATCTTAGAACCTACGGTATATGAAAGTAAATGATAATATTATTACACTTGGCTAACTGACTGTTTAAAACGGACGTTTTGGAGTTTATTAGCCCTGTTTGAAAAATTCTGATCTCTAATAACTAGGTAGTCGATTTTACAGAACCCTTTGCCTTTGCCATAACTTCTTAGCAGACCAATTTTCAGCCTTATGGATTTTTGACATAAGTATAAATGTCTTCATTGTTATGACCTTTAATATAGCAATATTCTAGCAGTATTAGAAATATTTAAGAAATTTTGAACCCCGTGTGACAAATTAAAAAAATTATACATATATTTAAATTAATAGAACAATTTTAACTTTTATAATAAATAATAAAATATCTAGTTTTATGAAGATGGAACGAAAGATAAATTCGAGAGCAGTCTCGTGATAGGTAATGCAAGTTTGGTTATGGTTTTGTTTTGCATGACTTTGTGATTATGGAAATCACACTTTCTTCCTTGTTTTTTTTTTTTATTTTTTAGATTTGCAACAATTTTTGATACCCTATCATAATATCTAAATGTCAATGAGTATAAATTTTTGTGTACTTTGAAGAAGGTCATTGAAAAGGGATATCTGCGTATAAGGTTATTATTTCCAATTATGCACATTAGGATTAAGACGGCTTATAATTAGTATTAAATTTTCACTATATTTAAATTTCGGAATATTTGATATTGTTATTTACAAGTGTTAAATACATTGGTGTGTTTATTTTACAAAAAAGTTTTTGATTGTTGTTCTTAAATACTTTTCTCTTCTCTACTCCAGTAAATTTTTGTAAAAATTATTTAATTTTATGGTATTCGTTTTAATAATGTCTGTGGTAAAAAGTACACATTCGATTTGTACGGGTTCAGCTATGACAAGCTTATTGCGGGTTGCTCAGGTATGCGACATTAAACTAAAAAAGTCTATTGAAAAAGGAAACTTATAATAATTACTAACTTCGAATTTCTGTGTAACAGTATTATCTCAATAAAAATCGAGTAAATAAGTATTTTATTTTTTATTCTTGGTTATCTATTCTTTTTTCAAGCACTAAATTGTTTACTGGGTAAAACCAAACAGTCTTCCTGTTACTCATATTCAGGTATAAACATTATCTTGTTTTTTTTTTCGTTTATCAAATTAAAATTCAACGAAATTGTATTAAAAATACTTTTTCGCCAAACTCTTATTGCTACAATGAAGTAAAAATAAGTAATTAGAAAATACATAATTAAACATGTAAACCAGTGATATTCAACCTTTTGTCGCGGACCCCTTCAAATATATGTTTATATTCAAGGACCTCTTACATAAATCTCTTCGCATACCTCATAAGACGTCTTCACGTACCCTTAGGGGATACGCGTACCCCTGGTTGAATACCGCTGATACAAACTGTCACATTAGAACTCGGAATTTAAAAAAGTCGATTAAAGTCGGAAGCAAAGAGAATAAGAACAAAACATATTTTCTCATTTTTTAATTTCACTGTCAGTACGTAATAATTATTGCAATGATTTCTGTTCTATTTCTGGAGTTAAAGGTAAAAGCTACTTGATCATCACAAACATATTTAACTAGCCCCTCCATATTTATTTTCAGTGATACTTACACTGGGAATAGCTATATCCTCGCAAGTGATTACTATTTTTGTACCAATTTCGCTGTTAGCTTTCCATCTGCAAGAAGTAGACGTCGGGTAACTTGTTGGATATTCAGAGTTGTAAATGTAATACGTTTGTCCTAGTATCATGTTTTGGTAGTAATCGCAGTTTGGATCTATGGCCATAGAAACTGGCATGAAAAAATTTAAAATACTAGCCAAGGCCATAGCCAGAAACTGGAAGCGCCCTGAAATAAATAAAACAGATTTATAATTAAAATAAATCAAAAAGTGAATTTAATAATGTATGTGTTTTTGAATTCATTCATAAGATTTTCATTTTATTCATATATTTTTCTGTAATTACTCGTATAATTGTAGTTGTAATTATTTATAAAAAATAAAAGTAAAAATTAAACTTCATTCATGATAATTGTTTATTTTAAACACGTATGGTGCAAATTCTCATAAGAAATGGTCGGTTTGTAGAACCATATCGATTTTTTTTTTGTAAATTTCACTTTGACTGTTCATACGAGGTCTACTCAGAAAATAATCGAACTCTATTTTTTTTAAATTTTATTATTAATTTATACATTATTGATACCGACCACCCTATTGGAATCAAAAGTTGTAAAGAGAGCTGATCGTTTAAAATTGAATACATCAAAATTATATCTATTGATGTACATTTAACTTGGTTTATTTGTCGATAAAAATTATTATTTAGATTTATAAAGAACAAAATTACACATATACTCAATTTAACTAAATAGGTATACCTAAAGTATAGAAAGATTTCTCATTTTCATTTTCAGAATCGGAAGTGGATCCACTTGTTTCTCTGATCTCTTCAATACAGTCGCTGATGGTCAATTCTTCACTTTTTGTTGCAACGTCACTCTTAATAATTGCAAATAGTTTCAAATTTATAAATTGGTCTTTTATGGCAGGAAACAGTTGTGCGAGTGGAATATTGTCTTAATTTTCAAAATTATTCATGTCGATATCGCACATAAATCCGGTTTTAGAAAAGCAGTTTTTTATTGTTATTGGGAATAAGTTTCGCCAGGCCACCGGTATCCATATCAAAGCATTGGTTATGGTAATGTTTTTCCCTGTTTCTTGAAGAGGATAACCACTATCCACATGTTGAAAGCGTCTTAATAAAGTATCTTGAACATTAACATCAGCCGATTCGCCTCATACTGTTTTGAAGGTAATATTGCGTCTATGTCAAATTTTTTACCCACTAATTTGAAATAACTCAGTCCTAGGCTTTGAGCAACTTCAAAGGCTTTTGCTTGCATTATTGGCTCCGATATTGGTAAGTGCTTGTTTCGAGCCTTACAAAACTAACTGAACTACGGCATGTCCATCAGTTTAGGAAATTTTCTTTTTTACAGTGTTGCCACACCTTGTTGATAGAATTTTTGATCTTATTTATTTTGTAGCAGTATTGTCACTTCAGTCAGGAAATTATAAAAATTTTCAAGTAGACAACTACTTGAAAATTTTGCAGCTAATTTCCTGGTACTCAAACCATTTTTGTCACTTGATAATATCAATTTTTTCTTTAACAGAAATACGATTCCTTTTCCCCGCAATGCTCAAAATTTGTTTGATTATATTTATGTTAACACCTAAGAATTCAAAATAGAACTAAAATTGAAACCAGATTCCCATGGCTTAATTTTTTTTAAACCCCACTCTCATTAAATAATGTTCTACCTACTTTTATGAGGGTACGTTATTTCCCTTAATGGGAGGGGTTTTATTATTGTTGTATGCTGGAAAATCCAGTAGTGCTCGCGGTCATTTAAGTACATTTATTCATAACTTTAAATTTCTACATAATATCATTGGTATTAGTATTTGTTTTGTACAGTATTTTGTGTTAACCAGAAAACTGGCAATTCTATCAATTAGATAAGCAACTAATCTAACAGAAATGTACAAGTATATTTTATAAATCTTATCTACACATTAACTTTTCCAAATAAAAACTGTATTAATGGATTTTCGTGATAAGAGTTTCTACTTCAAAGCAATATTTACAAACATTGTACAATGTTCATTTCAGATATAACGTTTTATGAAATCAGAGTGGGAGTTCATAGGATTGCTTTTCCTGGCAATATCGTGGGTATTTCTCGAACGATTATTGTGTTTTCTTTATTGAGTTTATCAAGTGTAGTTAATCACAGGTGAATAAGACATGATGAGAATATAATAACAAATCAAAATTTGGGAGGATGTAGGACAGAAATGTAACAATAATCTGATATAAAATGAAATATGTCTCAGGATTAATTAAAAAACTTTCAAATTGCTATGAAAAAAATTCCGAAAAATTTAAAATTTTCTTTTCATGCTTACGTTATATATAAAATTGCATTTGTAGCAAGAAAATTCTACAATTTTTTGTTTGAGAAACGAATAATTGTAGTTATTTTAAATTATAAATTTTTTGGGTGTTTGGAAAGCTAATTTTTTTTTCGAATGTACTTCTAGGAGTTGTAAGCAGATATCGAATTTTCAAAATGTCCAGTGACGTCGAACTTCTAGGTGTTTTTCCGTTATTAGTCATTGTAAACGTCAGATCTATATCCGAATTTAGTTGATTTTTACTTTTAACTAAATAAATGCTACCGGACATTTTTTATGAGATTTTTTTTATTATTTTAATCATTCGAATTTCAATTTAACTTTTTCCAATTAACATTGAAACACATTGTATATTTGTACACTTGATATATTTATCAAATATTTTATTTTCTATAAAAGACTAAATGTAAATTCAAAAGGTAATATGATGAACTCTTCAAAATATCAGTATATCTGGAATGTACTTTGTATATCATAATTTTGCGAAATTTGTACAAATTTTATATATTTTATAAAGTATAATTCTCAAATGTTTTTAAATTAAAAAATAATCTATCAATATTGAAAACTGTGATAAAAATGCACTAAAAGACTTTTAATCCTAGCTATTCATGAACCGAAGCACAAATACAAAATATCAGGTCAAATTAACTAATAATTAATAAACGCTTATTAAGTTGTAAACACGTATTTCTATATAGTAAAAGTGAAGCCAAAAGCAAATTGACTTCAAAAATTCATCACCTAATCGTTATTTTAATATTTCATAAAATATACAACTTAATTATTAATAATAATTAGTGTATTAGTGTACAGAGTGACCCAAATATAAGCACACTATTTTTTTGCTGATTTGGCGCCAAAATAAAATTTTTAACATTTCTATTACAATTTTAATTAGAATAATTAAAAAAAATGTTATGTAGGTACTTCATAATTAATTGGAGCTATTTTATGTTATATAGTAGATATTTATGAAATTAAAAAAACTGTAACAGCAAAATTAAAATAATACGTTATCAACTAATAAATGTACAACCGTAACACGACAAGAATACGTAAAAAGTGAAAACCATAAAAATAGTAAAATTATTACAGTTAACTAATTTCGTATTTGTAACAAAATTGTTTGCCTCAATTATTTTCTCATATAAACAAAATTCTTAAGAAATTGTAAATATTTTTCTGATCCTATACTGGCTACTTGTAAAAACCGCGGATATCTAACAAGAAAACCTTATACCACACTTACCCATCTTGCTAAGGAATAGTAATTACTTCGGCTGTTGCCTGCACTAGTAACTATTTGTCGTGTAGTGACACCGATAAAAAAATAATTTTTTACAGACCTCGGGGACATACAATGATAAAAGGTAATAAGGTCTACTTCAATTAACCGCCGATTATTTTTAATATGTTTTTATCTTTTAAGTATGGTTACGTTGAAAAAAATTATCTAAAACAAATAAATTAATAATCAATATCGTTTTATTCGCTCATGAGACCATTGAACCAAACAATGGCATGGGGGTGGATTTGATTGCTAAATAGTAAATCACTAAGTTTACATTGCACAAGTTAGTGTGAGTAGGTTTGTTTTTTAGTCTTACAGTTTTATTTATGTAGGTACTGTATATTTTAGTATGTCGACGTTAAACCATGCTTTTCGGGTTCGCATACATCTGAACATTCAGTGTCAATACAAACGTATAGTCTTATATAGAGCTGTGTATTACTCGATTACAAATTACCTACCAGTATTCAATACCCAATTGATTATTTTTATTTGACAGTATCCAGTATTCGAAAGACCCCCTTAAAGTTTAAGTTTTTCCTGATGCTCTAAAGCCGGCCTTTTTCATTGGGACACCCTGTGTACAGGGGTACAGTATAGTATTATATGCACATACGTATATACTATATTATAACATTGACCGATATTTTAACCGAATATTTACGTTAAATTTTGTTTTCAAACGAGAACTTTGGAAAAATCAAATGTAATTTTTAATCTATTATTTTCACAAAAAAAAAACATTTTCTAACTATATACAGGGCGTAATTGGGGTGAGGGGGGACATTTATACGGAGGCTACTTTTGACTTTTAGAAACACGTATCAACAGTTTATTTTTTTCAAATTCTGTAGTGAAAACCAATTTTTTTAAATCTTGTATTTTAGTTATTTTCATACCCCACCACTGGACAAGCGAGTGTAACCTCCAACAGCGGAGTGCGTTAGTCTCGAGGACTAGTCCAGGATCCTCTTTTACGGTGTTTAAAATTTATGGTTCCAAATTTCTCATTCTCTGAGTTTGTTCCCGTCCATTATAAGCTAATTATAATAATTTAATAAATTTTGAACCAATCTTAACAAACATTTTCTTATTCTTATAACACAAAAAACTCTACACCGTTATTAAACAGTGAAATCAATCACTTTATGAAGTTAAACATTTACAATACACAAAGGCACTTTACGAACACCCTCTCGTAAACCGTTTACCATTCCATCACATCATACCACGTGTGAAGACAATTTGCAGTTGCCGCCTCTAAAAGGCGGTATGGTATTTCAGCAGTACAATTATGGCTAACCTTCATTTCCTTCGGAAGCCTTCGGAACCTGATGGGATTCTGTTTAAATTTAAACTGTGGCAGTGACAGTAGTATAGTACAACTAAACTAGTTCAATGTCACAGGTCATTGACACTGAGATTTATAAATTAATTGCAGACACAGCTTAATTAAATTAGTAACACATAATTGGTTGTAAAAACTTGAAAATGACTAAACATTTCTTATAAATCAGATTAACATTTTTATTTATTTTATATTTTTTTTTTTGAACAACCAATCTAATTAAGGTTATAAAAACTTCCGGCAAAGCTGATAGTGCAGAACTATAACGCCCAGCGGCAGCATACACAAAAATTAAAATGTATTTAAAAAAACTAATTATATGTAACGTTATTTGATTAAAGAAAACAATTTCAGATTCGTATTCAGGGGAACATGTACTATTACCCCTAAAAAACTGACCCCCACTTAAAGTTACATCCTGTATATCTGTTTCTCTTTTTTCCTAAGTACAATATATTTCGTGTATGTAAGTTGCTGCTTAAAAAATTATATGGTCTGTTTTATTTGTTTACTGGATTTCCTTTCAGTTTTATGATATTTTGGTAATTTGTTATCTATTATATCGTTATCAAGATATATGAACAGATTTTTTATTCTAGCATCTGAAAAATACTTCAGAGGGAGCTGTAAAAATTAATATGATTACAGTATTAGCAAAGATCTTTAAAGTCTTAATGATAGGTAATAATAAAAATACAGCTAGCAAAACAAAATAAAATATTAAATCTTTGTATTGATTTTATTGTATAAATTGTTTTATTATTTCGAATAAATACAGCGGCTATATCTATGTAACTTTTTGCTTGACAACAGAAACAAGTTTTAAATTAGACGAAATACTGCAAACATCATTTTGCCTTGGCAAAATCGCTGTGCATTGGAGGTCCTTATTTGGGAAATCCCAGACAAAAAATAGTCGAGATTCGATTTTGGAGACACTTTAATTAGACAGGTAGGGTCGGTTTGTACTAAAAATTATTATTTTCGTAAAACTAATTCGCGAAACAATTATGTATGCCTTGCAACTGTTAAAAAATGTATCTGCTAAAAATATATTTTACAGAAATATCGAACAAGTATGTTGCTATTTGAAAGAAAATGTGCAAATTGCAAGAAGGCAAAATAAGTTGTTTCGCTTAAAAAAAATGACCAAATCTTATTTATAATATAGTTTAAAAAAAATAATAAGAAACTTCTGAAAAAAATAAAGAAAGCTTAAAAAGTTACAGTACATTAGAAAAAACGCCGAAAATGAAAAACGTCCAGGCCTATTTCAATTTCCTGTAAAAATTGTTGCTCTATCTAATTTAATATTCTGTCATTCTTTTTTTTTAATTGATGTTTTATGTGTATCTTATTACTAATTATGTACTATGGTTATAAAGTACTTAAACTCATTTAGATAGTATCCTGAGTTAAATATATACCGACTGTTATAATGATATAGACATTTAGATATAGTAAAACAAATTCATATTTTCCTACTTATATGTAAGTATATCATGGCATAGCCTCTTCTTCAAACCATTATAATTCTATTTAATATTTAAAATGGCTTTTTGTTTCTCAGAAAATTTAGAATTCATTTGTAGCGATTATATTGAAATTTGATTTTTCCACGATGATGGACGTTGTTATGCCACATTCCATTTAGATTTCACCATATTTCATAAGGATTTCGGATGATTGGGCCCACGTTGGGCGCCACGTCGGCTTTGGTAAATCCTTTGAAAAGTGAGAAACGATCTAATTCGTTTGGTTAGCATCTTCCATTCTGGTACACTCTCGTGACGGTACGGTTTCCTGGAAGCTATTATCTAAGGCTTGTTACACTAAATGTTTTAGTATGGTTACTAAAGTATCTATATAACTGTTTGTTAGGCTTTGCCTTGTCTAGCACTGGTTTCGAGGTATTCTATGAGTATCAGAAATACATATTTAGAAGCCTCGAGGGGCTTGTATAGAAGCTTAATTGGAATTTTTGTCTTGTTGGAGGGCGCGCGTATGACAGCTTTAGGAGCTGTATATCTTCAAGGATTTTCACTGCAGGATGGACAACGCCTACGTGGATGGGGCGCTACAAATAAGGTCGAGGCAAAATTTTTGCGAACATTTTTAACAATGTCTGAACTATTAAAAATTTGATTTACTGAAAACATATCTATTAATTTGCAGTAAATGCTATTTAAGTTATAAAGAGTTTTATGCAATGCAACATTGAATTTTATGTCGTTCTATACGTACTGGCCAGGATCCGTCACTGGTTCATGAAAAACAAGGCATCAAGGTAGACGTCCGATCACAGTTCTTGATAGTTCCGCACAGGTCCTGCATCGGAGTCCACCTCAGGTTTGGTCAACTGGCCTCTCCTGATTTTACTCAATTTTGGATTATCGCCAATTAAAAATATTGAACGACCTGTGTTCTTGGCAAGGTACTGCTGCTATTTTGCAGTTAGAATTCCGTAATATTCGGAAAATTTATCAGTTATCAAAATTGGAAAGTGAGGTGAATTTTACATTTTCGCAGCGCTGGAAGCTTCTTAGTGATCCTCGGTGAAAATTTTGGAATGTGAGATGAAATATTTGATTTCCGCGCCTTCCGCTGCTCGTTCGAAGGTAGTTTAGGTCTTTTTGAACTTCTTCCCCTTGCCGGAAGTGACCCTACACAAGGTGGTTGGAGACGGCTTTGTTATTCCTATTGGAAAATTGAGTGAAAATTTGAAATCCGCTTGATATAGACACTGAGAAGGCTAATTATGTATTGTGTTTATTATGCATTTACGTCCAAAACAGATTTTAAGGAAAAATGGCGTACCAAATAAAGAACTATAGGTATACACTTTTGAAGACGACAGGTCTTATTGCCCTGTATACTATATTTTCTTAAATTTTCCAAATATTAGTGATGAAAGAAATATGTTTTATACCAAAACAAAATTATCGGATCTTGTGAACTGTGAATAATAATCGTTACAAAATCAACTAGACATCTTGTTGTTACTTTTGTGAAAACTTTATACTACTTCCTTTCTTTGAGAAATGACAAAGTTGGTCACCCTGTAAGAAAAATTAATGAAACATTTAACATCGCTGACATCTTCTGACGAGTGTTTACATTCGGTACATAGATATCTATACTGTACATATAATTATTTTAGTAAATAATCTACTTTCAATAAAGGAGATGTTACTTATATCACATATAAACTATTATTTCTTTCTAAATTTTTAAAAATACTAATCTTGAATTAACAAATATAAAAAAATAAGTTCCATTTACTTAGTAAATACAGATTTCTTAACTCAGCTAACTTTAAATTAGTCACAATTTGCTAGATGGCGCAACGTATTCAAAAGTTCGAGTTGAAGTCGTTGCTATAGTAACCACCCAAAACAATGTGTCACAATTAATAATATTACTCCGGAGGTGTAAAACTTACATTCTCATACAATATTGATCACAAGTCTTGTTTGTTAAGTCAATATTATTAAAGTGGTGTGTCTGAATTCTCCAGGTGAGTAATGCCATATCTCAATATTTAATCGATTGCGATTTATACATATATTAAACTGTTTGTTTTAGTATTTATTTTTACTAATGCATTGCTTACGTCTCGCATCATGACAGTAGTTTTGTTGATTGACAACAAACTACCATGCTTCCACTGTTTCAAATAATCACTAGCTCCCCGGCCAAAGAAATGCCAACAAACGATGTTCCTGCCAAATCTAGGAGAAAGAAAGTCGACGTTCCTGTTCACAAAATTTATCAATCTCATAAGGAAGGACGTAAAAAATCTTTTTCTGCGAATTTTAATGCCCACAAAGATAAACATAGGAATAAGGAAACGGAAATCGTCGATCATCAGCCAATTCATACTGAAGTAATTGTAGAGATACCGGATTCGGACAGATCCGCGAAAGTTAGCAAAAAGCAGCTGGCCAAAGAAAATCTTAAATTAACTAATGAGAACAAAGAACTAATAGTAAAATTTAACGAATTAGAGGATCTTTCCGTCAAAAAAATTACAAAGTTGAGGGAAAAAATCGGTTCGCTCCAACTAACTAATGCGGAAATTGAAAAGGAAAATAAATACCTGAATGAACAATATCAGGATCTGCTTTACAACTATGAAAGTGCACAGAAACAGTTGGAAAGCAGTAGGGTTTGCAAAAATTGTGAAGAATTGAGTATTGTCATTGATAAATACAGTGCAGAAAATACTCTTCTGAAAAATAGTAGTAAGGAATTGGCCGAAGATTTAGACATGCTGAAAACTGTTGTTTACAGGTTTGTTATTACTTTTTCCAATAGGTACTTTAAATTAGCATGAACTTTCCCGAAATTATTAGATTTATATACTATAATAAAGCAACATTCAGTTTTAAATATAAAAAAGTTTAAGTGATGTTCTTGATGAGATACGTATTTATCTGTTGCACACACTGAAATAAAGAACTACAGTAGAAGTAGATGGCAATTTATTCCCCTTCATCTTTATTGTAATTATTTTATGTAATTTTGCAAGTAGATAACTGTAAAGTTCTATTATAAAATTATTTTGCATTTGCAACATTACTTTGTGATTATACAATACACAAATTATTTTTATAATGTAGTTTTTATAATTATTTATAGTCAATTATATTATACATTACATTATTATATTACATATTATTATATTACAATTACATTGTAATAATACATACTTAGATACACAGTAATCACAATACAGTTTTTTTCATTTACAATACAGTCCATTTTAAGATTATTTTAAAGATGTTTATAATACTAAAACGGCCTTAAATTAACCTATAATTTCTATTTTCCGGACATTTTCCTTTACTATGAAAATCATATTTAAGATTTATATTAACCCTAAAAGAAGTATTAAAATTTTTAACGATTAATTTATTATGCTGTAAGCTTATATTAAGAATGATAATTTTGCAGCAAAATTTATATACTTCAGCGTAATATTAATAGAGTGGCTTTTCTACAATTTTATTATACAGGGTGTCCCATTCATGTTTCAAAAAAACTTGTGTGCAAGTTCCCGATGGAAAAATAATAGGGTTAGTCCTGTTTTCGAGATACAGTGTGTTGAAGTTGTTACTTTCCAAATGGTTTTCCTTAATTATCTTTAAATCGGCTAAAGATAAAAATGTCAAAATTTGTACACGAGTAAACATCAACTATGCGTTAAGAATAATGTGCAAACGGTTTCTTTCTGAAAAGCAGTGTCGCCGATACAGGTAATTGGAGGGGTACAATCGAAAAAAAAATATGTTAAAAGTCAAAATTTATTACATTTCTAAACGGTTCTGTAAACTCTAAAGTATACTACAAAAAAAAGGTATACTTGTCGAGATTCGGTAGCATGTGCCATTTTCGAGAAAAATGAAGTTACGTAGAAGGAAATGGGGGACAATTTCAGTATCTACTGTACTATTTCGAGTTTGCACATTTATTTAACTGTGCAGCTGGTTTGTTGTGTATGTCTCCGAGTCAGCTTCCTAATATTTTTCTGTTTTTATCACTTTTTTTAAGCATTCATGTTCAGCAACAATTCAGTCCATTCAACAATTGTTTATTTTAGTAATGGTAGTGTAGCAGTTTACAAAATCTAAAATTAGTTAATAGTAGATAATTAATTACCATAATCTGTTTATTTTGATTTACTTTTTTAAATGTTAGTTTACAACAAACTTAAACTTAAAATAAATTAATTTTTTTAGTTAATAAAATGGTTTACATTTTAACTGTTTCATGTGATACGTAACAAATTAAAATTATAGTCGTAAATGCAAATACTGTTGGTAGCTAAATGTCTTCAGCTCATTCAATGGTAAGGTCCTCTTTCAATTTAATATTTTGTTAATGTACTTGCTTTATGTGAGCAAAAAAATGCAACTTCATTTTTCTCGAAAACGGTACATGCTACTGAATTTCGATAAGTATACTTTTTTTTTTGTAGTATCCTTTAGAGTTTACAGAACCGTTTATAAATGTAATAAATTTTGATTTTTAACATATTTTTTATTCGATTGTACCCCTTCAATTACCTGTATCGGCGACACTGCTTTTCAGAAAAAAACCGTTTGCAAATTATTCTTAACGTACAGTTGATGTTTATTCGTGTACAAATTTTAACAGTTTTATCTTTAGCCGATTTAAAGATAATTAAGGAAAACCATTTGGAAAGTAACAACTTCAACACACTGTATATTGAAAACAGGGCGTCTAAGAAAAAAACTTTACATGAACTACCCCTATTATTTTCCCATTTTTTGAAACATGAACGGGACCCCTGTATACAAAAATTCTCAGCCAGATATTATGTACGTTCAATCAATAAAATTGAAACAGTGTAGTAAAAACACAAATATTTTTTGTATTAATTATAGACGAATTAATTAGCTATTAGTAGTTAGTATGAGATTTCTAGTCTAATGCCTATATAAGAACTTTTTTCCTGAATAGCGACGTTTCGTTTACTTATTGCCACATCTTTAGGACCTTCTTCTTCAGTGTAGATTTAGTTTTTATCTCATTTTATTTGCGTATTTTCCCAATTGTAAAAGAAATTAATAAACTCTTGGGTCAAAAGGTTCAATCAAAAGCTATTTTTATCGAAATAGTTTTGCCTAACCAGAAATCTCAATCTGAAAAAAAGCAAAGAAGTTAAATTTTTGGATATACTTTATTAAAATAAAAAAATGCTGTATTAGGGAGATGGGATGGCAGCAATACATATAAAACTTAACAAAAACGATTTTAATCACTAATGGATTATTTTTCCAAAATTGTTTAGATGAAATGGCCAAATGTATTTATGTCAGTGTAGCCTTATGTTAGTTTTATAAGCTGTTCTGTATATCTAATGATTTGTAGGCCCACCTATTGTATTAGAATCGTTTATTTTTTTTTTTTTTTTAATAACATAGTCTTGACAAAAACGCTCTTAGAGTGTTTTTCTTATGCTTTATGACATTACACAAATCTGAGAACGTAATTAATGGTTTTAAAGGTTCCTTGTAAACTGAAATTTCCAGGTTTGTAATAAGGACGTTTTTGCTTAGCATTTTCCTGATTAGAACAATATTTACCACAAATAAATAACTAGCTGTATAAAAATTTTCTTTTTTAAGAACAACAGAAAATGCTATTAATGAAAAAAATAAAGTTTTATGTAAAAAACATTATTCCGTTTATCCAGAACCACTGATATCTGTCTCTGCAGTAGCGGTTTCGTTATTTGACTGTGCAAATGTAGTTCTGTCATGATGAAGCTTCCTTGGGCTCAAAAGAACATTTTAGCACATTATAAATAAATTATCTACAAAATAATTATTCATGATATCTTCATTCATATAGTAAAATATATATTTTAGATTGAATGTTCAACTTGAACGATATCAAGAAACCTTAAGAAGAAGTAATATTAGGATTACCAAGCAATATCCGGCGATAACAGACGCCGTAGACAGCTTGGAAGTGGACGAGAACATAAGCAAGAACATTTTATCCGAAGTACACAAGAATCACAGGCACACTCCCATTTCATGGGGAAGCGTAAACGTTCACACCTTGGGACCACTTTTAGATGCTTATGAGGATAGGCTTAAGGAAAAGGAGGAAATAATACAAGGCTACGATAATGAATTGTCGAATTTTACTGGTAAATTGAAAGAGATTATGGAGGAAAATGAAATTTTACACTCTAAGTTGACCCTGGACGAGGGATGCAGTTCAAAACTTAAAGTGGAATTGGTCAACATGAAGCAGGAACTTAAGTCTGCCAGGGAACAAAACGATTTGTTGATTAAAAAATGTGCTATGAAGCAAGATAAGGTAGAAGAGATTTTAAAAGTGTATGAAGCTAAAGGTACGTAATTTCTACGTGATAACAATTAATTCTATTACCTCTTTTATATACAGGGTGTTTGGTGAGTCGATGCATTCCTTGCAGGAGGTTATAGTACAAGTGATTTGTGATATATTTCCTCAATATACCATATTTCGAAAACGCAGGGTATTAAAGTTTTAATAAAAAATGCAAATTTATAAATATTGCGGAAACCGCTCAGAATATTTTAATGAAATTTTACAGGTTTTGACAGTTAACAACAATACATGTTTTACGATAAAAATATTGTTTTCCTCGCTCACCCGACCTTAACCCCCTTGATTTTTATTTATGGGGCGTTATGAAGATTATGATATACACCAACGAAGTGATGGATTTAGATGATCTTCATAAACGCGTTCAACAATACGGCGATAACTTTGAACAACTACCGTAAATTGGATTCCATTCCATGAAAAAAATAAAAAAAAAATGTTTAATCACCCCTAAAAATAAAAAAAAAATTAACAGTAATATCTCTCTTATTATGCAACTTTTGTTAAGACATTTTTTAAAGATGTTTAATCACCCCTTGAAAATAAAATCACAACACCGTAAACACCCTTTATACGTATAAACAAAATTAAATGCTAGTAAGAAAAAAATCAATTCTAGTAGATTTTCACAATTAAATCGACTCGGTAAATGTATTTTCCATACCTTCTTTACGGTCTATGATTCTTATTTTTTCATTGATGTTTTCAAAAATCATCTAACCATATTCATAACACCCATAAAAATAAAACACAGAAACAAAATTATTTTGTTGAAGGGGAACATTCATTTAAAGCAGAAGATAGGACTACTCCGATTAGCAACCGGTGAAAAAGAAGGCTGTGTTTTAATGTAATCTTGATCTCATGATTTTAATAATTTTTAATTTTACTGAAATATAATTGCCAAGTTGAAGGAAATAAAATTACTATTCCAAACAAAATTACTGATCCCGTGGCTTGTAATCATTTATGAAATCGAATCTAAGACTTGTTAAGCTTCCTGGCTTCTCTTATAGTATTAAAAAAAGACTGAAATGATTGAATTCCCGGTTAACGATGGATTTACAGTTTAATGAGGTGTTCAGGTCAACCTACGTTTTTATTTTGTGTGCTTGTGTAATAATCGTAGCTGAGATATAAATACTACATCTACTACTCTACTACTACTACTACTAATTACCTAAACCTTTAAACTGCCAAATTGACATAGATCGACATGCTGTTATATCAGTAATATCTAGTGCTTACTAACTAACTGCTTAGTTAGCATCATTCGACAGCTAAACATACCAGACATATACCGGCTGTATGTTGGTTCGGCCGTTTGTAGGCTTAGGCAGTGAGTACCAATGTTCAATCATAAAAATATCTGAATCATTCGTTGTTAACCCACCTATGACATACTAATAAGAACTAATTAGTTCGAAACCGGTATATGTCTGGTGGGTTCGACTGACGAATGATTGTTGGGCATGTAGCCTGCAAAGCAATTGTTTCCCAATATCATAAATTTTTAATACTTATGCAATTATCTCATATTTTAATTACATCATTATTATACCTTATTTTCACTATCAACTTTTAGTTGAGCAGATGAATAGGGATTTCGGTGTATTACACGAAGAATACGTGAAATGCCGTACTGAAAACGCTGCTTTAAAAGAAAAGAGTAAATCTTTAGTGGATGCCCAAGAAGATTTTCGTACTCAGATGCAGAGTTATATTCCTATATCGGTGCATAATGCTAGCGTAAACGAATGCAAGAAGTAAGAATATGATAAAAATTATTATTACAAGAGGATTTTAATAATTCAGTTTTTTTCTAGATGGTACGAGGAATTGAAACAACAATATGAAGCCGAAAAGCAAAAATTGAAGATAAATATTGAGTCGCAAGCAAAGTCCATTAACGAACTCAATGGCGAGGTTTCCAATTTGCGCCACGTTAAAGAGGGATTGGAAGCTAAAATTTTACAGTTAGAAAAACATATCAAGTAAGTATTTCTGGTTCTGCATTCTTGTATATTTAAATATTTTTCCTAATCAGTGACTTATCATAAATTAGTGAATCAATGAAAATTAAATAAATTATAATTTATTATTATTAATACATATTATAAAAAAGTCTTCTATTTGCGGATATAATCCAAAATTATATTTGCCATTTACCGAAGTATCAGAATGTGACTATCTCCATTAATGATACTTTAGCACCAATGGATTATTGTAGGTAGAATGATGTAGCAGTGAATGAATCAAAATCACAACTATAATACGTATTATTATTTATTCATGTCTTTGTTGAAAACGACACAGTCTTTTGAAAACTAACAGCAGGAAGAAATGTTTTAGAATTAAATTTCCCATAAAATAAAGTAATAATTTTTATGTCCGCCAACGGTTTAAAAAATTCTATTACTTACATTTTAATGGTGCATCATCCCTTATCAACCCTTTAAAATGCTTCAATTGAACTCTACTTACTGTCGATTAATGCTCTTGGTACACTCACACCCTGTACCAAATTTGGTTTTTCTAAATTCAAGTATGACTGAGATACTGATTTTTTTTCCAAATTTGAAACACCACTCTCAAGGCTTATAACTTCTCAAGGGTGCAGCTAAGTATAAAAAGTAAGTTGCGTTAAGCCACTATATTTTGGGTTCCCCTACATGCCCATGTGTCAGTTCTTATGCGGAACACCTTGTATATTACTGTACCAGATATGAAGCAGACATTCTTTCTACATTTAAAATTAGACATTAACACTTTTTCATATATCAGTATCTAGCCACTATGAATACATTTTATAGATTACATAAACATAAAGATTTTTTCAATGACAGTATAAAAGTAACACTTATTACAAGTATATGGACTGAAGATTTGGGGTAGTCAAGCTCTTCTGTGTTCTATCCGTTTTAATTTTTTTATTTACTTTGATGTAGTCATTATTTAGGCAATTTGTGTTCTATTTTTCAATTAATGCATATTTTTCTATTTTGATTTGTGGAACAAGTGTTTCAATCTAGTGAAACTGTATTGTATTATGAACGTTAGGTATGCAGGATAAATAAAATAAATGAAGTTCAGTAAATATGTAAATAAATAAATAAAACAAAAAGATAACATTTAATAAAAAATGTCAGTATCGTTTATAAAAAACGCATACCTATTTAAATAATAATGATGTTGATTGTTGTAAATGGAAACAATATTTAGAATTGTTTAAATTTGGCGTATAAAATCGCATCCCTTTTGATTTCACAAGGTGCAGAAAAAAATTAAAATATAAAAGATATGTATTAAGAGAGAACTTTTTTGAAACCTTATCACCCTAGGTATAAGTAAATATTCTTAGATTTGAACGATTTCATTTTATTTTCGTTTAATTCGCTTTTGTTCAATTTAATTTAAATAATAAAAAATACTTTTGATATCAGAAATTTTTATCCGAAATTACTCTTGAGTCAAAGATCCTCCATAATTTCTGCACAGGACAGCAGTCTGAATTTTGTTGTAGTTTGCTCCAATATTCGTTATATCAGTGCAAATTAAACATTTGTTGTTATTAACTCGATTAATAAGGAATATGAGAACATCCTACATTTCCTGCCTATTTATTTATATTGTATGTAGAAAAATTACTGTTTTTATTTAATTTAATTAAATTAAAATGAAAAATTTGTGGATGTTTATTTATGTTAAACAAAGATTTCCAATTTTTACGCGAAAAAAAATCCGTAAACATCGAAATAAAGTATTATTTAAAAAAAAATCGAGTTCATTAAACTATTCATATAATATCTTGCAGTTAACAATAAATAAAATTTTAAAATTAATGAAAACGAAATGTAAAAATGGAACTTGTAGTAATGCATCTGCCGTTACATATGATACAGATAATACAAAACTAAAAATAACATTTGATAATCTTTCCTTAGAATTTTTCTGTATTTTTTTTTTCTTATATGAACAATAAGTTTCGTATCAACGTTATTTTTGCAATTGAGGCAAACATATATTCGTATTTGTCCTAACACAAACCAGCCTTTTAAGCCCTTGTGACAAAAAGACAAGTAGAGGGCGGGATTTTATCACAACTAATTTAGTTAGCTTGAGTTGTCTTGTGTTTGGAGTTAGAGTTAGCCACTTGATAGATCTCGCGAAGATTTTTTTGGTTAGTTAGCTTCATTTCTCTTGAAAATGTCAAGCCTCAGTTAGCTATAATCAATCGCGTTAGCGTTTTTTTCACCAAAACACTCTTATCTGTTTTCATTCTCAAAACTAAAATTGATTCAAGTCAAATGTGACGGGTTTTCCTGTTTTGTTTATCTACGTTTCACACAAATAAATATAAGATAACATAAATAGCATAAAATATTCATTCAAGAGCTAATGCAATTTAAGGGACGATTTGAAACACATATTACGACCGTTTAGTTTTTACCGTGCTATTTTCTTTTGGCAACATTTGATATTATTTCAATATTATTTCAGTGTTATTTTTCAAAGTTTCTCTAATATAGTTCTTTACAAAATATTATCATCATTAGAATCCGGTTTATGTTTTAATAACTACTGAACGAGTAAACATTAAAGCTAAAGCTCTTCTTTAGAAAATGGGAAACCAAATGCCTGGAGTTGGAACACGCCCTGAGTGAGATCCAGCTATCCCGCAGCGCCCTGCGCAAACAACTGCACAAGGTGATGGGCTTCGCCAAAGACATGGTGGCGGAACAGGAGACCCTCTTGAAGGCGCTGAATCAGCGGCATCTGGAGAACAAGGCCGTCAAGAGGATCGGCTCCGACATGGCGACCAAAATGGATTCGTTGAAGAACCAATTGAAGGTAATCACCGCGGCTACGTCTTTTCCTGTGTTTTTTTTTAACGGCGGTCACAAGAGCGTACCGGATCAAATTGCGGAACTGTTAAAGCTTGACTAGACGCAACCGACCGTTGATTTTGTTAATTTATACGGGGCTGGTTTCATGAGATCAGGTTTACGGCATAAAAAATGAATGGTTTGTTTATGCAAATATTAGAATTGATTTTTGACTCCGAAAGCAAAAAATTCACATTTCGCCGATTCTATAAAAACATACTGAATCGAAGGATGGATGAAATATTAGATATATAATACAGCTTTTTATTATTTGAAATTATTAATTAATTAACATGGCAGCAGCATGCATCACTGTACACTGTATTTTCAGGTTTAGACTACAGATTCATGTTCCAAGATATCTCGATTCTTGTTCGAAATAATCCATTTTTATCGCTCTTCTTTATCTGTTTTTCAGATTTGGTAAGGCAAAAATTGTTTAATAGAAATCATCCCCGTCTTCTTTGAGCAATTTATTTAATAAATTCATATTTCTTTTTTCACGAGCGGTAAATTGCCTAAAAATAAAACAGAGCTCTTTGCTTGAATCTGAATCTACTTGGTTGCGGTGCCTAGATAAAAGACATATAATTATTTGAGACAACCTCGTAGAAGGAACACTGAACTGGATTCACTAACTACTATCAGTGTAATACTGTAATTATTACGAACACGTATTATTAATCCCACTCACATACCCCCGCTATTTTAGTTTCTAACAAACTCATCTGCTGAAGTAACTATTAATTACAGCAGAATGCGTTCAACGAGGGGGCAATACTACTTGCTCACGCAGAAACATACATGCACACGCGCTAAATTACCTTTTTTGTATATACATACTACATACTTACAGGACAGTACAAGTGTTATCAGATGCCCAAACAAGTTTATCTTTATACGTTTTCGCGGAACGTTTTCGTTCGTACGTACGTTTTCCCAGAAACATTGCCAATACAAAAACTTCAAATTTAACTAAAAACAATCGAATTTAAGTAATCTTACTTAAAAAAAAAATTGATTCAAATTTGGTACACGTTATAAGGGCACAGGAAACAATAAAAATGATCTCCAAACATTTGATTTATTTGATTTATTTACCTCTTCAGGAAAACAACTGAATTTCTGAATTACCCTGCAAGCATATACAGCTGGAGGTAGCCTCTCTCGTCGAAAGTGAGTGGCTCACGACTGATCCCACGTGACAGGAACAGTCAATCATATTCGGGGAGAGAGAAAGAGAGCGCGAGAGAGAGATAGTGTGTACGTTCATAGCAGCTATCTCTACCTTTGCCTTGCAACGTGCCCTGCCGTTGGGAGGCTACCTCCAGTAGTATATTCTCGAAGGAATTACCTGTTGCTTCCACACAATAAACTCTTATTATTAATTCCTCATGAAATCAAAATATATTTTTACTGTACACACAAAGGCAGAAACGGAGAGGATCCCAAAAGGTAATACTTTCGTAATTCATTCAAATTTGGACAATTGGTCATCTCTTTAAATAAGTTCATTTTAGTGTCACCGTGCATTGTCATCCAAATTAAGCGTGTATGCAAAATTTCAGCTCAATCGGTCAGTTAGGAAATATATTTTTAAGAAGAGAGCGTTATACATCGTCTCGTACACCACTGCTGACGAAGGGAATGAAATTATTTTTATTGCTTCTTGATCTCTTATAACGTGTACTTAATTTGAATCAGTTTGCATATATCGGTTTTCAGATATTAATGAAAGTAATTTAATAAGTACAGTTGTTATGATATCAGTTGGAACCTGTGAATCTTAAAGCACAGGACCGTCTGCACTTCTCTTGACAGTTCTTTCTATGCTTTAGCCATGATGTGTCTCGTAATTTCTCTCGAATAGCCATTGGGCGAGTCCGGTATTGGTAGACCAGTCGGCCTGATGTAGAATCGACGGCGGCGCGCTGGTCGTCAAAGCTAACCTGTATTGGTCCACTAAGTCGTAAATAATTTTTTACATGGTATCCTATAATTATTAGTTTGGTGTCAAACTTGGCTTTGTCAATGCCGTAGAAAGCAGTGCTTGGCGTAGTATATTTATTGTTGGTATAATACGTATTATTAATAATTTATTAGTTAATATTAATATTTGTTCATATCATAGCCAGTAAAGGGTAATCACTTCATATTATAAAACAAAGTCCTCCGCCGCGTCTGTCTGTCTGTCTGTTCGCGATAAACTCAAAAACTACTGCACCGATTTTCATGCTGTTTTCACCAATGGATAGAGTGGTTCTCGAGGAAGGTTTTAGTATATAATTTGTTAAATTTTTGTATACATTAACGATATTTGTTGGAGATGTCGGAAAAAAATAAGCCGTCTGGGAGCTTTCAACGAAGACGCTGCCTAAACCCTTTGAGACATAAATAATGTATGGTGGAATTGTGTATCTTATATAGGTCTACAGAAAAGTCGATGGAATATGTCTATCTCTTAAGGATAACATACTATATCCATTTTAATACTTTAAAAAATGTCCAAAGCGTCGAAATAAACTCCAGTTCGAAAACAAAGATTTACACGTACCACGTATTATTTTAAATATATATGAATGTTTGAAAAGAGAAAATAGTGAACAATGTGATAAAGAAATTAGGAAATGGAAGAAACGGAAAAATAGAAAATTAAAGAATATTGACGATTTTACCAGAGATGTAATACGGCGCACAATTTATATGTAAAGAAAATAAAGTTCCTACTTTAAACACGATTCGAGATAAATTAAGCGATTATCCTGATTATAATTATAAATCTTTAGATACTTTACGACATGTTTTATTACAATGCGGTTTTAAACATAAAAACTTTGGCAATCGTATGGTAATTATGGAATACATATGGTATACGTTGCACTTCGGGGAGATTATTTACAAAAAATTCTAGAATATCGTTAACTAAAAATAAATATAGCTCGGAATATAGTATCTCCAAACGAGACAGGACAAAATTTTTCTGGACTCCGATTCCGTAGAGTTTATGAATTAAATGTTTTTATGCGCTTCCAATTGATAGCGTAACGACTATACCCTACAACCTGTAAATGTATGGTTTTAGCTTAGGTCCAATTCAATTTTTTTTACCTGAGGAGTATGTGATTGGTGTATAACCAATATTTTCTGAGGCACTCTGTAGTGATAAAGGTTTCCGATATTTCATTACTACATTTTTTTAGATGTATACGTCTGAAGTAGTTTTTGAGACATTATAACAACCTTATCGAATTTACTCCTCATTGATCAAAATCAAGTACCTACTCCCACTTTTATTTTTTTATATGGAGAAAAAAGAAATACGTTCAGGTATACATGAATTCTTTTATTTGATTTAAGCAAACTGTTGGAAAAATTTTATGTTCTATGTTAGTGACCATTGCATTACAGTTACCTCTACTATTTTCCTAAATGGTAAAATTTGGTACCATAGCTAGTAGAAACATTTCAATTGATAGGGTTTAAAGTTACCTATTCAATTTTGTAGTATGCAACAAGTATTTGTTGTGGTATTATAAAACTCATCCTTGGGAAATATGTTTAAACTGAATGTCTCTTTAAAATACTTTTATATAGATAAGACATTCAGAACATACTTTATTTAAAAAAATATAAGACCATCATGTAAATGATTATAAAAACTGCTTATTTCAAAATTGCTTATAAAATTGTTAATTCCAGTTTCTTTTTATCATTTAATATGCATGTACTTATTTACTTTTAAACTTCTTTGATAATATATTGCATCTTCAATATTCTAATTAATTCAATTTTAAATCTTGTGCGCCGCGTTATACTGTGTCTAATGCTGCAATGTGTGGAACCAATTACATATAACTAACACTTTCCTTGATATTTCATTTTGAAAGTAAATAAAGATAATTCACGATCGTAAGTGTACCTACCATTGATTTATCTATCTTGAGTAAGATCTACTTGTAGCAGTAGCGGATGGATTTAGTCTTCCTTAAATGTATCTAGATATACAAAAAATTGGTTGCCGGTATCCGTAGGTTAAACATATTTTGAATTTGCAATGAAAAGTTGCCAAAAATGATGCTTAAACCAACATAACTTTAAGAGGTATTATTCAGATAATGCGCAAAATTGGAAGTAACGAGCGTTCAAATAAAAACGTGGTCGAAATTGGCTCTGACACATTGGATGTAGGGAGTAGCTTATAGCGACCAACTTAACCTCATTTCTCAACGAGCTGTATAGCAGCTGTCAGTTTCAATAACGTTAATGACTATATAACTTTATTTTAAAGAATAATCGTGATAACAATAACAAACAATTAAAGGAGCTGCGGAAAGTGTCCCCCTCCTTGTTATAACAATAAATTAAAGCAGCTGCTGAAAGTGTCCCCCTCCTTGTTCCAAGCACTTTTCACACCTGTTCCTCAAAGAATTAAAGACATTTTCTAAGATGCTCGGGGTATTGTTAATTTCACGAATCTTGTCTATAAGTCGAGCCTGCAGATGGTTTAAATCAGGAATAGGCAGTTCAAAAATAGTGTTTTTAAGGTAAGGCCACAAAAAGAAATCACACGGCGTAATATCACATGACCTCGGTGGAAATTCATGTTCAGCATTGAGACTTATTAGTCGATTTTGGAAAACTTCCCTCAACATATTCATCGTCTCGCCTGCCGTATGTGCCCTTGCGCCATCTTGTTGAAAGTAAAAGTTTGTAATTTCGTTTTCTTCCAGCTGGTTAACAAAAGGAGCGATAATTTCTTCTCTATACCTTTGCGCAGTAAGAGTACCATTAAAAAAAATAGGTCCATAAATCCTCCTTCGATTGAGAGCACACCAAACTCCAATTTTTTGAGCGTGTAGAGGGCCCTCGACAAAAAAGTTATCTGGTTTTTCAGAAGACCACATTCTCATATTCTGTGAGTTTACGTAACCACTTAAATGAAACCAGGCTTCATCAGAAAAAAAGGTGATATTATGAAGTTCACCGTAGTTGTTTAAAAACCATTCACAAAATACAGCCCGTCGCGGAAAATCAACTTCATGAAGTTCTTGCTGACAAGTTAAACGATAGGAGAACAAACGCAAATCTTTTTTTAACACTGTGTGGCAGGTACCGACTGATACTCCCACCATTTGTGATAAAACACGTACAGAAGTTCTTGGCGCATTTTCCATTATTTGTTGGACATTTTCTTTTAATTCTTCAGTCCGCTTTTTAGGTCGGCCGCTTCCTTCTTTTCTTGTTACACTGCCCGTTTCACGAAAAACATTAACACAACGCTGAACTGCACTTTGAAAAATTTTGTACTCAACAACGCCGGGAAATTGATTTTGAAATTCTATGAAACATTCCTCAATAGAATACTTCCATATTCCATCAATCTTGCGTCCATTTCTAAAGTAGGACTCTATGATAAACACTTTTTGTTCTTGAGAAAACACCATTTTAAACGCTTTTTAAAACGAAAATATTCAAATTGATAGCGGCGATATAGCGCTTTGACAGATGACGTTTAAGTTCATTTGCTATACGCTACGCCCTACGTCCAAATTTTCAGAACCAACTTGACCACGTTTTTATTTGAACGCTCGTTATGTTCAAGGTGACCCAGAACTGATGGTTGACCATTACAGGAAAATAGAAAGAGCAAATAGGAATCCGGAAGGCACGATGTTACCTAAATCAAAAATTTAATCTCCCTAAGTTTATACCCTACGGGCTCTAAGGAAATTATTTTTCCAATTTCCAATTTCATTAAAATTTGTTTATGTTGGTAATGAATATAAACGCGGTACGTTGTTTTTTACGACAAAATTGTTGAAATCAGTAACAGACTTGATTGAACCTATTTTTCTCTATACATATCGTCTTACATCCTTTGAAAGGGATTAGGTCAGAAAGTTATTTTAATAGAATTTGTGAAGGAAAAAGGGTTTTCACATAACGTAAAAAAATATTTAGAAAATTTTGAAGAACTATTTCGATAACGTGACAGTTTTATTTCAATTAATTATTTTTAACAATTAAAAATGAAAAGTCCTTATCAGTTCAGAAGACGAAAACAGATTGATTTTCAAACAAACAACTTTTTGAAGTGCGTGTAAATTGTCTTTTCAGTGTGATATTTTTTGTTTAAGTAAATCTGTTTTCATAAAAAATAAACCTTCACTAATTCTTTTGCCACCAGAGTATATTTTATTAACTTTATAAATTTTGTTCATAGGTGGAAAATATTCAATAAATAAAGAAAAAGAAACAAAAACTATACCACAAATAAGTAACTTCAGACACTACTTCTCAGTTTTAGGTCTCCCTGTACATACAAGTAACAGACATTAATAAATGTTCGTATTTGTTTCATGGCTTCTTTATCTTTCGCATATATTTGTTCTTAATGACAATTTCGTATAATGTTAGGATAATAAATGATCCGACATCTCAGATGACATTGTAAAAATAGGCTTGCCGTGCTTTTACATGTAAATATAACAGAACCTTTATAATTGTAGGTATATTAGTGATAACAAATTATGTCAGACATCTTGTTCCAATTTTCTTATTATGGCATGTCATTTAAACTGGGAGTGCCTCTATAAGGCAAAAATAACTAGAATTCTTATTCTGTAATATCTAAATATAATCTACACCCACTACGACGAGTAAAGTTAATGTTTTGATTTTAATATGAATAATATGCACTTATGTGGTCAAGCTTTCATAAAATATTTACATAACTGGTGGCTATAAAAATGTTTTCCGATATATTTATTATTTCAAATCATTGACACGGTCGATAGCCGCACGGTTTAAGGCGTCAGTACTTAAATCGATGTGTCGATCTGCCCGGGTTTCGAATCCCGCGGCCGGTAGACCGTAGATTAGCTATGCTTGTACGGAGGGTTGGCATCCTCTGTGCAGGTATGGTAGGGTGGAAGAATGTTGGCTCGGGTCAATGTGAGAGATTGACACCGGTTGGCATTTGACCGCCCCCCTAATTAATGAGATTTTCCAGGTTTCCCTCATTCCTGCACTGAATGGTGGTTAGGGCCTACCAACATAAGTCCTTCCTGGGCGCAAATGCGGCCTGCGTAATAATAATATGCCGCCTCCTCTCCCGCACAAGTCTCCGACTTCTGGGCTAATTCTCGTAGTTAGAATGAGGAGTAGAGATATTATTATTATTATTATTATTATTATTATTATTATTATTATTATTCGTCATGCAAAACGAGTGAAAAATTGTAATAGACACAAACCAGACTTACATTCAGATAAAAGATAAATCATTTTCAGTGTCATTTCCATTCATGTATAGTTTGGTTACAAAAAAGGCAAAATAAATAAAGATTACACAGCCACACAAAAAAAAGTTGTCTGTACTTTTCATGCGACATATGTTATCCGTAGTATTTTTGCCTCCTGATCACGAATCCGGTGTCAGAATTGAGCTATAACAGGAATTTCCTAACGTCAAAAAACAGGTCAAAAATAGCAAAAATTCACGAAAAAGTGCTAGGAAAAATACAACAATTTTTTTTCTATATTTAAATGTTCATTTATGTGGTTAACACCCCGCCCAACGTGAAGCCGCGGTTAGAATTGATGGTGCTTTTTTTAACCTAAAAAAAACGGATCAATTAAGGTCAGATATCGCCAATTTTCAAAAAATAACAGATTCGCGTCAAATTTGGTATACGGGGGTTTTCTAGGTCGCTGATCACGGATCCGAGATTAATTTTGCAAAATTCAAGATGGCGGATACAAGATGACCGACCAAATTTTCAAAAAATAACAGATTCGCTCCAAATTTGATATCAAATTTGGTATACAGGGGTTTTCGAAGTCACTGATCACGAATCCGAGATCAGATTTACAAAATTCGTTTTTAAAAATTTAACCAATTACCTATATACTTTAAAAAGGTTAAAACATGATTGGGTACTCAGGTTATAAAGTGAATAAAAGTATGACAAAATGAATTTCGCAATTCTGTCTCGAATTCGTAATCAGCGACCCCGAAAACCTCCGTATACCAAATTTGACGCGAATGTGTTGTTTTTAGCTTTAACCGAGACTCAAAGTACCGAACCTTGATCTAATAAAATACACAGTGTTACAATTTAGCGCTATGACCTTGCCTTGACTGGCCGGGTCATAGCGACCTTGCTTTAACTTAATGGGGCTGCAAACAGAGTTTTTATATTTCGTAACTTGATTTGACCTTCAAAGAACCTTCAAGTTCGTCCTCTAGGTCATGGTCAAGGTGATCGTTGTATGATCCCATCAAACCATAAAACTTTCAACCAGAATCCTTTGTCGTAAGTACTTTCCCGATAAATATCGCAAAATTTAATTCAGAACATTATTTGACCCTAAAATAACTTGTTAGAGTCACTTTGACCCATAACAGAAAGACATATGAACGCAAAATTCTTCGTTCTGTCCATTTCCGGTGTTCGAAATATATTTATCCAAAAATGTATCTGAAAATTCAAGTTGACGTTCAAATGACTTCTAGGATTGACCTTTGGATTAAGATCAAGGTCACCATCGAATCAGAATCCTACAACTTTTGTCTAAAAAGTTTTCTTGACAGTGCTCCCCTAAAAATATATTGTAATACGTTATTTAAAATGGGACACCGTGTATATTTTACCAGACGCATCAGAATAACCTATTCAGATATTTTAAACTGGATTTTATTTTTTACTAACAAAATAAATCACTATTTGTTGATTCGAATTTAAAAATTAAGGTACTACTGAAAATAAAATGAAAAATGGTTCATATAGATGTCATTTTACTCATAATTTAAAATTTCTTCTATGGTTATAAACTGAATGAATTGTTAAAAAAATATGAATTATTCTTAAAAAAAGAGTGGTTGGGATCCATGTTTAAAATGAATAATATTTCATATTCAATGACGTATAATACTTTAATTTTAGGATGTCCAAAAAAACGCTTGGCAAGAATTTACCACAGTAGAGCAGAAAATTCAGGAACAGACAGATTTGATAGAAACGATGAAAGACGAACATCAGAAAGAAATTGAAAAACTACAAAAAATCATTCAAGAACAACAAGAAACGAACTTGTTGCTAAAGAGCGATAATCTTCCAATTCCACATTATTTACTGTACAAAGATAAATATAAATAAATTTTACCATATTTTATACAATAATCTATGTTTGTTCCGAATGTTTTTATAGTTTATACTTGAATTTATTGGAATATTTGTTATCTGGCTTGTATTTATACGATTTTTATTATGTGAATGGAAATATTGTAATATAGTGATAATCTAAAGTAAATATTCTGTTTTTAAGAAAATCCACATTTGGATTATAAAACATTTATGTATGTAGCAACTCCAATTTTGAATAACGTTCTTAATAATATTCACATTTTCAAATAAGGTTTTCATTCCTAAACCTAAAATTCTTCTTAACATTGTTATGGCATATACAGAATGTATCTAAATTATTTGATCATATAGACTAGGCGGTATCTGTTTTGGTTTGGGTGAATCGTATATCCACGGAGATTTTTGGCTTTTTGGCTTTCAAATATCACTAGAAATGAAAATTTTTCTATGCGCATAAAAAAACGTGGGCTTAACTTTTGGCGGCACAATATGTTAAAAAAATTCGAAAAATGTCATATTTTCCTTCCTATTTCATTACGTATCTTTTCAATAGTTGATTTTAGGTGAAACTGAGAAAGGAAAAAAATGTTTGTAATAAAATTTTTTACAAAATATGATAGTTACAAATCGAATGAATCATGATTATTATTGTAAAAATCGAAAAAATCGCCAAAAATGGGGTTAAAAACATTACTTTTTAGGAAATTTTTTTGGGGTCTTTAAGTTGAGTATAGGATCTTCATACTTGGCTCAAGAAAACTTCATGTTAGAATCATCACACCAAATTTCATCAAAATCGGTTAGATAGATTTTGCATAATAATTTTGCAATACAGATTTTGAAAAGAAAATTGCAAATTTTCAAAATTCTGCATAGCAAAAACCAAGGCCCTTAGATAAAAATTTAATCACATATAGAACTCTCGTGCTTTCAAACGCTTTTTGAAAAATTCGGCAATTAGGAGAGCTCTGACGCTTGTTTAAACATTGGTCGAATTTTTGTACTTAAACAATTAGAATAATTTTGTGAATATTCAATCAAATCAAATTCTTTAAAGCAGATTTTAAAAGTTATTGATTTTTTATAATTAATATTTAATCATCATTTCTTTTGTGATTAAAGTATAATTCAAATATTATTTATTGTCAAAAATATAAACAAATGAGAAATTAACTCATTATATGACTAATTTTCGACATATTTTGAAAATAATTGTTGTTTAAACAATTTTAGAAAATTTAAATTAGTTTGTTTTTGATCTTTGATAAACAGTATAATAACTTTATACACTTACCTTTGATACAATAAAAAAATAAAGTTGATAATTAAAGGAAGTTTAAAGATAAATAATTATCGGACTGTTGAAAGACCAATAATTATTATTAATGACAGGCATTTGAAAATACGCTAATTGTCGAAGTCTCGCGATTTAAAAAAAAATATCATCACAATCGGACCTCTAGAAGTACATTTAGTGTACATGACGGTTAACTTTGATCGGCTATAACTACGTAATTAATTGACCTATCGATCTGTTTTTTTCTTAAGAAGCGTCTTTCCAAGAACTTTTAAAACCTATTTTAAAAAATTTCATTTGGATGAATATTCACAAAGTTGTTCTAATTGTTTATAAGTACAAAAATTAGACCAATGTTTAAACAAGCGCCAGAGCTCTCCTAATTGACGGATTCGAATTTTTTAAAAAGTGTTTGAAAGCTTGAGAGCCCTTCTATATGTGATTGAATTTTCAAGTCTCTAAGGGCCTTGGATTTTGCTGTGTAAAATTTTGAAAATTTGTAAATTTTTTTTCAAAATTTGGATTGCAAAATTATACAAAATCTGTCTAACCGATTCTGATGAGCTTTGGTGTGATGATTCTACATAACATGAAGTTTTCTTGAGCCAAGCATAAAGGTCTTATACCCAATTTAAAGACCCCAAAAAAATCCCTAAAAAGTAATGTTTTTTTAACCCCATTTTTTGGCGATTTTTTCGATTTTTACAATAATAATCATGATTCATTCGATTTGTAACTAGTCATATTTTGTAAAAAAAATAATTACAAACATTTTTTTCCTCTTCCATTTTCGCCTAAAATCAACTCTTGAAAAGATACATAAGTAATTAAATAGGAAGAAAAATATGACATTTTTCGAATTTTTTTAACAAATTGTGCCCTCCAAAAGTTAAGCTCACGTGTTTTTATGGACATTGAAAAATTTTCATTTCTAGTGATATTTGGAAGCCAAAAAGCCAAAAATCTCCGTGGACATATGATTCATCCAAATATGCACTTTTTGAAACAGATACCGTCTGGACTAACACTTTAATTACTAAAAATTAATTAATAAAAAAGTTCCTGTTAATGCAGCAAATCGTATTTGTTGCATTTAATATTTATTGTCGAAACAAAAATATGCTGCTTTTTGTAAACTTTGTATAAATGGATTTGTTGCATTTTGCAGTCCAATGCATTGGGTGCGAGATATTCGGAAAACATTGCTTTTGAAACTTTGACCTTCAATATTTCGAAAAGGGCGAAGTTTTGGAAAAAAATGCGAGACCAATTAATTTTTGGATGTTCGATACACGGAACACCAGATATTTTTGCAAAAAACTTTGACCTTCGATATCTTGGGTAACTACGTCGTAATTTTAGAGATTTTTGCGGATTTGAGACACCTCAAAAATTCAGCTTAGCGGGAATTTTGTCGAGGTTTCCTCCTTTTTTCGTCTAATTTCCTTGGGCTATTCGTATTTTGGAGACATTTATAACACCGACTTAGAGCAAAAACGAGATAAATAGAATATGTTAGACAAAGACCAAACTATTGTAACTAAAATTAAGTTGCTCACTAGTTGAGAAATTGAAGCCTCTTTCAACTTTATCAGGGAAGAATTTTGCTACTTACTACTTTCGTGATGTTTATAAAACCAACCAAGAGCAAAAAAGAGTATAGATCAAACAGAAGACGTTCGACAAAGACCAAAACTATGCTGACTTACTACAGGTATTGTTGGATCAAATATTATTCCGTTCGAACAAAATGGTACTATATTTCCGTAGGTATTTAATGGCTACTAGGTGTAATAAATGTTTGTCATAAAAAGCAAATAAACGAGTCGCCACTGAGGTCAGACTAATTCAATACCCTCTTACATCCATAAAACGTACAACAACGTGATAAACAAATAAATGTTACACCTCTATAAATGATGTCATTTCTATTGACTTTAGAATTCGCATAATAATGCTTTTTCATGAGTACCTATGTCTATTCTAGTATTTCAATTCAAATGGATCTATTGCGAAACTAGATTTAGCAACAATAATTTGATTTGAATATCGTCACTTGAAAATATAGGCATTTGATATTCAAACATAAAAAATGAATACAAAAGTTCCAAAATTATATCCATATTGTAAGAGTCATTTAATTATGACGACATGTTTGTTCCTTTCACCACATAAATATATTACCAATATTACCCATTTTTAATATTTCATATTTTAAAAAAAAAAGAATTAGCAGAGCGTGGTTTCGATCCACGGACCTCTGGGTTATGGGCCCAGCACGCTTCCACTGCGCCACTCTGCTTGTAGACGCCAATCTTTAATAAAGTATATAAACGAATGCACACTTTATTTATGTTTTAAATAAAATATCAAATTTATGTAATCTCTCATGAGTGCAACTTATAGTTTATATTTTATTTTATTTATGAATATTATAATTGCCAATGATTGCACTGGTATTAAAAAAACAAGGCTGAAGTAAGTTCACAACTTTATCAAAGCGGGCGATTTATAAAAATAGTTTTGTTATCACTTAATCATAGGAGGTCAGGCATGCGCTTTATAAGGCATCAAGCGGAAGTATTTTTTTCAACGTGACAACTATATTGCCATGAATATAAACCAATTATAAACGTAATTAGCAGTTTATTCTAGTCATTTTTGGGACAGATCCAGTTAAGCTAAAGGTAATTTAAATTATCAGGGGTAATCGATATGTATAGAATAATTTATTTATAGGGCTGGATATGTCTGGCTGCAACGTGAGTTATTTATTTATACTTTTTGTTACCGGCATATTGCTAACTAAAAATATTAATAAATAGTTTGTTTCCTAGACAAACCTTACAGTACTGCCGATATTTTTAAAACTATACCTAGTTACAAAGTTACAAATCCCAAAAATGACAAAATAAGCAAAAAAAATAACTAAGGTGATGCAGTGCAGTTGCATCATTAATAATAATTCCTTATAAGCAAATATATCTCAATCTATTGACGAGTCATAATCTGAAATTGTTTATGTCTATTGGAATAATAGAATCGAGTATTTGCCTTTATGGTTGTTGGAAAAATGATCTAATTCGCTACAGACTACTATAAACTACATCACTCACTATTTAGAAATGTTGGGAATTTTATAACCACTTTTTTATTCAAATCGAAGAAAAATTAAAAAATGTCGAAACATTTTTTTAAATATTCTACGCACATCTTGTGAAAAAATATTTATGTACATATACAAACATACGTTTATGTAAATATGTATGTGTATATGTTATGTAGAAAACTGTTACTGGTTTTCGTTCTACAGGTTGTTTCATTAACTTTTTTTCCATTGTCGCAAATAACGCCACATACAGCAACATTGGTCTATTAACATGGCCATAACTTTTTGTCCACTCTTTATGTAGATTCTCGAACAAAAATATAGAAATGGCAAACTTCTTTGAAGTCAAAAGAATAGACCGTTTTCGAATTATACGTAATTCTTCATTCAGGCACATACGCCTTTATTTACTTTTTGCAAAGTTCCTATGTTTTGGTATTAAAAGCAACGCTAACTATAACTTGTCAAAGTGCAGTGATGTTAAGTAAGTGTCTTTATTAACCACTTAATTATTGTTACTTGCGTTAAAATGTCACGTCATAATGATTTTTCAAATGCACAAATGCGGGATATGGTCTGCCTATTTCCCGGGAACATTTTTGTTGT